AAAGACGTGATAAATACCCAAAACCAGTGTCAGTTCTGGATATATTTAAAGGATGCATGCTGAGCAGAGCTACTCATTGCTCATTGTACTCTGAGATCGTGTAAACCTCAAAATATAAAATAATAAAAATAAATAAATAACGATTTGGAGGTAGCACATCCACATAGTGGTTCTTCGTCTACCTGATTCCTGGTCGAATTGGAATTTGGAAATGTTGGTTTTGAGGAGAGGGGAAAACCAGAGTACCCGGAGAAAAACCTCTTGGAGCAAGGGAGAGAACCAACAACAAACTCAACCGACATATGGCATCAGACCTGGGAATTGAACCCGGGCCACATTGGTGGGAGGGGAGTGCTCTCACCACTACACCACCATTGCTCCCCAGCCATATCATCATTCAATGTTTAAAGTGTAAAATCCCTGAAAGAGTTCTCCGCACTGAGGCAATATGTAAAAGGTTTTCAAAGGTTTTACGCCAGTCAAGATGTGCGGCTTGTCACCCCTTGCAGTTTTCACTTATTTTACAAACAATTTTCTTCCCTGGTAGAGGGAGGCAAAATTTACCAAAAGAAAGGAGGTGAGAAATATCCTCAGCATCCCCTCAGTAGTTACAGTCAAACGAACCAATCAAATTGATTTGCATGTTTCGAAAAATATCAACCAATCAGCACCAGAGGGTCAGATCCTGACCCTGTCATCTGCATGAAAGGAAGGTAAGGCAACAAGAGGTTTTACTCTCCCTCCTCGCCGCTTCGCGACACGTTGTCGCCGCTTCACGGCTCGCTCTCTCTTTCACGAAGAACATTTCACGGAAAACCTCTGGGACCAGGGTACTACCTTCAATACAACTGCCTTTTTTTATCCTGCCTAAAGTTTGCGGTCTACATTTTTATCCTGACCGACCTTGAAATTCAGTTCGCTTTATCGAAATTTTCGACAACGTATATACTTAAACTCATTTAGTAGTAAACAATATGCTGTAAGAGAGAAAGAGATCGAGACAGAATTTTCTTCTCTTTACGCCAAAATATGACCACTTACCTAGTTGGCACATTCTACTGTTTCTCTCCAAAATGTTGACGCGCAGCCCGTTCAGGCGATAAAATCCTCGTTCGGTTTTCCAGTTCACATAGCCAGATATTAAAACTCTCTAAAGAGGCGAAAAGAGGATGATTGTGGAGCCTGCGATTAATTTCTTGCTTTAAATACGCACACACTTGATCATCGTTGGTCGCCATTTTACAAAATATCGTCCAGGCGTTACTAGGAAACCGAGGTAAAGACTAGGCAATAAGACCACTGGGGGTGCACCGGGGGTGGGAAATTTTGTTCTTCCCCCTTCGTGTAAGTGCCCAATTGTCGCTCTGTTCAAAGTCGGGAAAAAATTAACCGATTCGAAAGGGAAGTAATGATGCTTGAAAGGGAAATAATGAGGGGAATAGGCTGGAGCTGAAAGAATTTCAGCGGATACGAATTTCGGCTTAAGAAAATAGCACTGCATTTTTGTTGCGACTGGTCTAGGGTCGTGCCAAATCGCAATGACCAGTCTTTGACTTCATCTTAAGCCTGTTTTCCCCTCTCATATCTCTTTGCGTCGGACAACTTTAGCTGCTCATTTTTCTATGCCACTTTTGTCTTACAAGCGACTTTGATAAACTGGGAAAGCTGAATAAGAGAGCTCTAACGAGTGTGCAAGTATATCTGCCCACCGATTAGACCCAGTAATAGCAAATTTCCACCGAAGAAAGAGAAGAAAACCACGCTTTACAACCGTAGACTTCAAAACAAGGCTTTATTGGATTACAAATCATTGAAAACCTAAGGTCCATGGTGCATTGAAAAAATCTTCCAGTAGGCCATTTGCACTATGACATCATTTTACTATTACGACCAGAATCCTTCAAGGTTTTGCTTTCTTGTGCAAATGAGGGCTTTTGTTATTCAAACCTCACTGAGATAGCCAAATTTAAATATGAAAGAAGAAACGAAAAGGATTCTGGTCGTAGAAGTAAAATAACGCCATCGTGCAAATGGCCTATTACGTGTCTCCAAATATTATTGAGAGGAGTAGGTAATCACGTGACCGTACTCCGACCGACCGACCGAGCGTCGGTCCGCACCACAGGGCAACCAATGTTTAATCTCACACTTTCTAGCTAGTTTGGGAGTCCAGGTGCAACCTGATATTGCACATCCATGTTGTGATCAATTGACAGCTGTCAAAACAAGGTATCCACTGACCAGTAGCACCTGATCGTATCGCGGGCTCACGTTTGACCCATCGAGGTCAAGTACTTTTTGAAGTTATCCGCTGGCAAGTTACTAGTTTTCAAACGATCGCAGGCTCAAGTTCATTTTTTAAAAAAATGCATAGGAAATACGTTGTGTTTATGAGCTGCACTATTACAGTGTAACATGCTATCACTCGTTCTTGAAAATTGAGCGCGCAGCATTCTAATTGTAGACACAACATGTAAGCTGAGTAACCAACATTCAACTTGAAAAACCAAAAACCAACTTTGCAATTTCAGTCTTCATTTTGGGGGCCTCTTTTTATTTCATTGTAATTATGACATTAAAGAGATACATATTTCCTCTAAATTCTATTCGGAGTTACTTCAATGGTGGTCTGAGTTTCGTAGTGTTTTCGATAGTAGAAGGGAATGTCAATATATCTTGTGGAATAACAAAGAGATACGCTTTGATAATAAGCCTGTTTTCTATAAAAAAAAAAAAAAAAACTTTTTGAACAAGATTTCACTTTCGTAAATGATCTTTTGTTGGAATTAGAAACTACAAGTTCTTTTACTATTACTTCGAATAAAATTAGCAATTTAACTACCTAATTTGGGCAGGGCTTCGTCACTCTGTTCCGAAACATCATGTAAAGAATAGCAATTGTCTTGGCTCAGAACTAAGCTTAACACTGACAATCGATAATAAAGAATTTGATATATTGGAAAAGAAATGTAAAGGTTTTGACTGAGCAAATGTGATTTTTGCTACTCGTATTTGATACTGAGAGGTCGTGGCACGCATGTTGATTTTCTGCGGTTTATATTATTACTGTTTCTGGTCTACATTATTTGCCCTCTGAAGCAAGAGCGTTCTCTTTGACCTCCCTTTGAAATGTAAAGGTCTTTATGCGGCTAAATGATGGTTTCAGGTTGTTTAAGTTTCTCCAAAGTGCCTCCTGGATCTGAATAACTATAAGCGATTTTATTTTTGTCCCTAAATGTGACGGTTTCCTGCAATGTTTTGTCATGCTGGGCCCAACTCGTTAGCGTCTTTAGCAGGATGAAAAATTGTCACGAATAGTGATCAGATCTCGAAGAATAGATTGCAGCTGAAACTAAAGCTACATCGACTATGGAGAATTGCGATGTGTCGCAGTCTTGATTGCTCTTAAAGCAATAATTTTAAAACTTCAGCTTGTTTTCTAAGGATAATATGAGGCTTTGGACCTGTTCTGCCTGTTGGACTGGAGCTCGTAGTTCCTTCCTTGATTATAACTTTTGAATTGGCTTTTTTAATAACACTATTAACAGTCTTTAACGTTGTTGAGCTCCTTGTTGCCCATATTGATTTGGGAGAACTTAATGAAAATGTTCTTCTAAATATCTTTTCCACAGTGGCTGGCAACAGACTCCGCTATCTAGGTTGTGCAAAAGGAGGGAATAGGGATCGAGACCGGAGACTGGAAACAACAAACCCCTTGTGGTTGGCCTGTTACGTCAGCCTTTGACGTAAGATACATTTTGGCGGACAACGCTGTCCGTGCAACGAGGTCAAGATTTTGCATCGATGACGTTTAATCTGTGACGGCAATTATTCACTACCCATTACGTCTGATACGAGTTTAGTATCTTTTTAACATCGGACTATCAAAAAACATGATCAGACTTATATATAACGCCGAGTACTGAACACTGAACTGAACTGCAAAGTTGTTGGTTTTTGGTTTCTCAAGTTGAATGTTGGTTGCAGTCAACTTACATGCATGTTGGGTATAGAAGTAGAATGCTGCGTGCTTAATTTTCAAGAACGATTGATCATGTTAAATGTTGGTAGTTAGTTGAATTATCAACTTTGAATGTTGAAACGTGAAGTTGAAAGTTGGGGGTTATAACTTAATGTTAGCTACTCAAGTTGAGTTTCGGCGGGGATGAACACCATACTCATCTATGCTCATAGAGGCTCTTTACTCTGCTAAGACAATTCAGTTCTATTTCTTGGCATTTAAATCAATTAAGAATAAATGACATTGTCCATAACAACATTGGCTGCTTTAAAGAGGTAAAAACAAAAAGCAATAATAGCATAAAATGGTATTACTGAATAGCTTCAATCTCATAGAAGGATAAAGTGGCCAAGCTTGCAAACAAAAGGACCTATAGCTAGTAGAGAGCGTCATACTGAGAAAAATACTGATCTGTGCTCAGTAAGAGAAAACAAGGATATTTCACAGGGAAGGCAAACTCTTTATAGCTATCTACAAACGTTAATTTATAGCTTACTGTGCCTATCTATCTGTGTTTAATCGTTTTGGAAGGGATTTCCACTATCGCGAATAAGGTTTCTCCATTTGATCAGTTCAAAACAAAATCACTTCAGACGCGTTGGGACCTGAGGACGACCAATATTGTTTCCATGAATTTAACGAATATCTTAACAGTTTGAATCCGCAGAAACAGTTGCTAAAGGAAGTTGAAGATGGGGCCGGGGCAAATATCTTTCCTAGACACCCTATTATTCATGAGAAGGACGAGGGTGGCAGCAAACGGCATATAATAGAAAACAACGCAATACCCACATGAATTTGTCAGAATCGAATTTTCTGTCGAGCTACTAAATTACTAAAAACTCCAGTTAACCTGCCGTTATTTGTTAAACCTCGGTGCAGTTAAATTGGTCCCTAAGGAGAGTCATAAAATATAGGAACGCCAGAACAATAAAGGGGCTCTACTCGCCACTGTTATACAAGGTGGTCTTCGAGATTCCTAAGAATACCCACAGGGATAAGTTCTAACAACCGAAAACACTCCCTTAAAGCAAATTCCTAACATGGAACTACGCTACCAACGAAAAATTCCTTCTGGTCCATCATAACGACAAAACCAGTCGTCCTATGGTTCACCGCTGTTGGTCCTTTAACACCTCATTTTGTTGTTAAAACTTCTGCAATTGATACTGCGAAAGCTCCAAATACAATAATTTGTACACGTTAGCCGCTAATCACCGTTTTTGTCATAAGTGGAGTTACTTTGAAAATATCATGAAAGAGATGGTAGCTTTCTTTCTCAGCAAAGGTATAGTAAAAGGCGGAGGGCTGATTATTTATTTATTTATTTTTTGCTGTGACTTATTTTTGTTGGTCTGTTGATGTTTTTATCGTGATTGTTGTTGTTGCTGTTTGTTTGTTTGTTTTCTACGTTTTCTTTGTTTTATGTTGCCGCCCGGTTTCAAGCAAGCAGTTCATAATAAACCTCCACCTCATCTGGGCAGAAATTATTCCCGTTTCGTGATCCAACCCAGAGATAATTGTCACAATAGGGACTGCGGTACGAGTAACAACTAAAGTAAGAATTGGTATTTCTTCCCGCATTGTCCGCAATTTTCATATCATGGCCCGCACCAAAGGTTGGACCATAATCATAATCGCTGTAAGTGGCGTGGCCATAGTAGCCGTTGGTTATGTCCTGTTTGAAGTATCCATACCCGTTGTAGTTTTTCAGTGAGTACAAGAAGGTATTTGTCGAATATTGATAACCAGCAGACCCTGAAGTAGAGAAAAAACAGAACACAAACAATTAGAGATTCAGTGTAACTCAGTCGAGTTCAATAGACCATTTTACAATTATGGATGGAAACGAGGCTGGAGTGGACCTTGCTTTGATACAACCATTTCTGCTTTCTTAATATGTAAATCGTGTTTTTTTTATTCTAACAAGTACTTTTTAAGTATAATTTTTTCCATAAGAAAACAAAGGACGTTTGTATCAAAACATGGTTATGCTCTAAGGTGCAACACGCGCTTCATTGTACATAAATGCAAGACCGATCATTTTAGGAATAGTTTTATTATTAGATCCTGTACGTAGATTTTTAGAGTTTTTATCACATTTTTCACACTTTTTTATTTACTGTAATTAGTTTTATAGACACATTTTATCAATTGCATCATTTGTAAATACGCAATTCAGCCTTTGGGCTGCAAAGTATTGATAATTAAACTATCTAACTATCTATCTATTATGGTCAACCTTAGTCTTGCACTCACTCTCAAAGTCTAGGATACTAATCCAAAAGCAGTAAAATGGTGTATTTTTAGGAAACGGTGGTGGGTTAGTAAATACTGAGAGCAGGAAAGTAGTATATAATGTGTGAAATACCACATAAATCACGCTCAGGGCTTTTCCATTAGAAAATTCAAAAGAAACGGCGGTCCACCTGTCTCAGATTTCAAGAAAAAGACGTGGTAGAACCAGCTGCAGTACAGCAGTATTAAGCCCGACCTTCTCCACTAAGCCTCATACCCCACCTCAAACGCGCTTGTCAAAAAATAAATAAATTAATTATAAATAAAGCAGCCCGAGGACTCAGCACAGTTTTTTGGTGGCATGTTTGAAGCGTTTTAAGCCGAACAAACATTTATTTTTCTAGATCTGGATCCGTCTAATCCCCGATCGTACAAGAAAACGTACGGCCAAGCCGTGGTACAAGGAGGAGCCAGTGGTCATGACCGATAATGCCTGGAAAATGTGCCAGATTGTGCCAATCAAAACTCCTGGTTGTCAGTAATTTTTCTCAATATACGATGGCAAATGTTTAGAATACAGTTCATGCTTCAGCAATGTTGTGACTTTGGATTAGATTGTCAGGTTGCGAGTATTTGTTTAAACTCTTACCACACAATCTTCTCCAATTAGCAGAATTGCGAGTGATTAATGACAATCTGGTTAAGACTAGACTTGTTTTGAACTATTTGCGAAAATTCTAAAGGCCCATTCTCTCCTTCCTTTTATATTACATTTGGGGTTAATAACCCCCGGGTTTAATTCAGTTCAACTGGTCGATACCTTCTTCGTATCTTAGCTATTTCAAAGACTTACATTGCCATGAATTGTCGTTGTAGCCTCCAAAAATATAGATCCCTACCCTAACAATTGTTACAGTGGGTCCTTTGTTATCGCAATAGCTGTGAAAGGTACGCGAGCCCCAACCGTGACTAGTAGCTCTGTAACACAACTTCCAGTAACTTCTGTCCGAACTTTGCAGGTGGGGGAGGAGCCAGGTGTTTAACTGGGATGCCTTGCCAACGTCATTCGCTAAAATGACTGAATCACCAAGGCCGCCTGAAATAAAATAAAAAACAAATACAGATAGACTACATTTTTATCTAGAAAAGCACAAAATGGAAAAGTGTATGTTGAAACAATGTTCGTACAGAAAGAAAAGGCAAACAAAATTGAAGCTCAAGGTCTTACTTGATCTCACTGCTTAAACTATCAGAGACATATGCTTGACTGACCCTACCTTTATTTACATGGAATCAGGGCCGCTTTTAAAATGAAGTAGTTGTTCAATACCTATGAATTTTTATAAGGCATCGATGATCACAGCAAAATTGGACAAGAGCATAATCAAGATGATCGACAGGCAGACGAGGGCTTGCTCGTTGGCGACATAAATATTGGTGGATAGCTTTTTCCACAAAATAGAAGTTAACAATTGGCAGAGTGGTAAAACGAATAGAACAAAGTGAAATAAAACATATAATTCGGCTTACGATGAGGAGTGCATGTTTTCCCGTCACCAATGTAATGTGCATTCACGTCGCACTTGCAAGTAAATGACCCTTCTGTATTGGTGCAAATAGCATTCGCATTACAGTCATGAGTGTTGAGTGAGCATTCGTCTAAATCTGAAAAATGACAAAAGAAAGTTTTTAAAATGATAATCTTGATAACAAGACGCTATCCGAGCGAACACTTGTATCACGCGTATGTGAGGATTTTCAGTTTTTGTATGTCAGGTACGTGTGAATGCCGTAGTGGTGTTAATTGTTAAAGGTTGGTTGAGATGGGTGAAAAAGGAAACTTGGAGTCATAGACTGACGTTGCTTGATATGTAAATAGCTCGAATTTTCCCCTTTAATTCCTAACATAAACTGGCTCACCAAAAAGCGAACGCGCATGACCACTCAGAAATATTATGGACTGAGAGCAACCTCTCCATTTCAAGTGGCAAGCGATCGCGCGAGTGAGCGATGAAGAAGAGCTCTCCCTTTCTTTCCCCTCAACTTGCTCTCTCGTCGTCTTTCGCGTGCTACTTGTGCGTGACTTCTCTTGATATCTCTTAAGGGCCCATCATTGTATCGCGTTGCTATGCAAGTGGAAATTAACTTACGGTTTCCGTAATTCACGCGTTTTTGGACTGCCGACGCGCGGGATATAAGGGACCTTACGAAACTACGACGGCGACGGCAACGGAAACGTCAAAAAAGCAATAGGTTCAATGAGCAAAACAACAATTCTGCACGTGTCGTGCATCACGCTTTTTTGTACATTTCTTTACCGTCCCTGCATAACTAGGACTTGAATTGAACAATTTGTAAGTTTACTTGGGAACGGAATCGGGTAAAGCGACAAATTCCACTATCTCTGTCAGAACTCTGGAGCTGTCCCTTCTCTTCAGTCTCTTCAGTTCAATCGTGCATGTAAGTCTAAAAGATGCTGCCGTTTTTTCATAGCCGGTATTAAATGATATTATTTGTCCCGGGAAGGCAAACTTATACCATACTTGAGATTAATCTTCCTGATAATTAAAAACTGTTGCAGCTGACTATTGTATTAGTTTCTAAAGGTATCTTGGAAGAATATCAGTTCCTGGTTGAACGGCCAGACAAGACTTGCGTAGGTTTTAAGTCTGATATATATATATTTTTTACTTGACCTAAACCTTCAAAACCTACAAAAGTTGTTTTAAATAGTAAGTGAAAAAAGGAAACTAAAATATTTTAATATTCTAATTCCCCACAAGATTCTCCAAAAGTCAAACTCGCTGAGTTATTCACTCTGAAAGTGGTCAATTTATACATTTTTATTGTCAGTAACTCTATTTGATTCCAAGGCGTTATGCTCGGCCTCTCTCATTCTCCTCTATAAGTCTCCCTCCTTGCCTATTAACTAAACATCAGGTCCAGTTACATCTACGCGCAAACCGACTCGATTTAATATGACTCCATGTGGCCCAGACTGCTGAAGAGGTTTTGAGAGATCACCTGCTAGACTTCAGTTTCAACAGAAAATATTAACGATTGAGTTCCCCGACAGAAAAATCGCTGGAAGCAAACCGCGGAAACAGTTGGTTGCGAACGAAAGCTTAAACTCCAGTCTTTGTCACCCCGGCATCCCCATTTTTTGCTTCTTTGCTAGCAACGAATCTAGCTGTTCTTGTTGAATTCGATATGTTGAGTAACTTTAAAAAATTTTCTTGAATCTTAGCGAGTTTTAGTGGTCAATTGTGTAACCCCTAAATTTGATCAAGTGCTTATTTTACCTTTACAGGTTCGTCCATCTCCTGTGTAGCCGCTGTCACAAGTGCAAGTGTAAGACCCATCTGTGTTATAACATGTTGCACTGCTGTCACACTGGTGACCTGAAGAACACTCGTCGATATCTACAAACATATAATTATACATACATTTTATTTCTATTTTGAGATTGAAGTACAATGCCCGCGGGTAGCTATGATAATCTACAATCATGGACAAAAGTCTTGAGACACTTTTGCATTTCTGGGGCGTTTCCAATTCACACAGGTCCAACCCCTTCTCTCACCCCACAAACAATGTTGGACGCGTGTATCCCGAATTTTTTCCGAGTTTCAACTTTGTATAGGGTGAGGGGAGGGAGAACTGCAAGAAAAGTTCGAACAGGATGCACTGTTTTAGGAGGGAACCGAGAAATGACAGAAAAAAATGAATATTGCAGTACTGTCCCAAGGACTTTTGTCCAGGCTTTTATGAATCCTGGTTTTGGGGAAAAAGTCTGTTTTTTCATTTTTCCAACGCTTGTCAGGCATTTTGGTACTTTTAGGCAAGTAGGTGATCACACGCAATAATAATGACGTTTGAAATTATTTTCGCAACGTGGCATGTTTTTTCAAGACAATTCCCTCATTTGCCATATCAGGCCCATTTCCCTAAACTGGAGCCGAGTACAGCGGAAGTTGGTCATGCACGGTGTTTCGAGTATCGCGCACAGTGCTCAGTCGCAAAAACACAGTGTATTATCAATATTCGCTACAAATTAACTAAAGAAACAAGGCTAAGGTATATTTCAACCACAAATTCATTGCATTTAAAGTAATATGCTTCAAAAAGACCATCCCGTAAAGTGAATACAACAATACACCGTTTTAATAGGGAACCGAGAAATGAAAGAAAAACATGAATATTGCAGTACTGTCCCAAGGACTTTTATCCAGGATTGTAGTAAGGTCATGTTTTCAGGAAATAAATGCAACTAAAAGTAACACGAGACCTAAAAAAAGCTAGAGTTGACAAAATGACTGGAGACCACTGATAAACTAATGCAATATTAATAATGACAACACAGTTATGACTAGAGATTACTGATACACTCAACGATATCAATAATTACAACCACCAGTTACTAAAAGGAAAATAAATTCAACCAAACTTTTTGAACGATTTCTGGGAGATCAATACAAGTTACTAAGAGAAAAACAAATTCAACTTTCCTCTTAAACTGAGGGCATTTTTTGACAGATTTCTTAACGTTACAGGCATTTCATTCCATATTTTGTTCCGATTCTAGAAATCGAAGCAAGAACTAAACTCTATAAATCGTCCGACAATGAACATGACATTTCAAGCGCTAGACTGTCTAAATACAGTTCATGAACGCGTTTTCTCCTTGCAAGAGGAAAAAAATGTAAAAAATGCCAAGTTTCCTTACCTGAACATGAAAAACCATCACCGCTATATCCTGTAGCACACTGACATTTATAGGAGCCAAGAGTATTTGTACAGACGGCATTCTGGTGACAATGGTTATTGTTTCCTCGGCATTCATCTAGATCTAATGTGACAAAAGGGCACGCTAGAACTTTCTCAGGAAAAAAAACAAACAAAAAAAAAAAACAGAAAACACACACACACACACATACACCTACACCCCAAAAAAACAACACAGAAAAACTGGACAAACAAACAAAAATAAACTATTTGCAAAAATATGAATTTTTAGTGAACTCGAATATGGCGGTCATCTCGTAGTACAGTAGTTATGCTTCTGCAAAGATGAGCCCCGTTGGTGGATAGGTAAGGATAGTTTAGGGATAGTCTATGACGTCACCCATTGTTATAACCTAGGGAAAAAATGCCTTCCTCCATACTAATAACTGTCTTCCTGCATACTAATTCGGTATAGGTTTACTAATGAGCGAGTACTACAATAGGCACAATAGGCCTTGCCTCGGCTTGCCCGTTAAGTAACTTGAGCCCCGTTTTCGGACCGTCTATTAAAGGAAAATACGAATAAGAGAACCGATCACGTAGCAACGCGAGAAACTGCTTTCTATATCTTATTTAGCGGTGAGGGTAAAAGGCGGAATGAGTTTGCGGAATGGCATGTGGCATGGCTTGCGGAATGACATAATTATGCGGAATGTAAAATATGGAAATTGGCGCAAAGAAATAAATTAAACTGAAAGGCATGCGCGGGTCATTGACGCCCCTTTTTTGGCGCCAATTTGAGTGAACAACTGCTTTACTGGTTCACGCATTTAGACATTTATCTAAAACATACCCGAGAATTAGCTAGGGTTCCTGAAGACAGCCTCCACACGAAAACATTGAAGTCCGGTAAATATACTGAGGCGTGAGCAAAATAACTTAGTTTCTTCGATTAGGGACGGACCATTAAAAAACTTATGGGGGGGGGGGCGGGCGAAGTCCAAAAAAAACATTCGCGCAAGGGAAAATTAAATGAAAAAAAATTCTTGCAAGCCAATTAACCCTAAAAAATATTCATGCTATGGCCTAAAAAAAATTCATACAAGGAATTTGATAACGAAAAAAAATTCCTGCGGCTCGAAAATTCCCCCCCCCCCATAAGTTTTCTAATGGTCCGTCCCTTAGCAAGACGAAATATCTTCTTTTTCCGTTATCCTTAGCGAATTTAATACCATTGTTAGAGTCCTTATTTTTGAGTCGATAGAAAGTGAATCCCAGAATACTTGTGCATTTGATTTTTTGCTTCTTCAAAATACTGTCGGCACCGAAAGTGTTACTCCTTCGATCAAGAATTACGTTGCGTTACTACCTTGATTTCGTGACTGTGATTTTGACAGCTCCGTCTCTTCAAACGTACGTTGTGCCACGTGCAGTCACGGAACAGACTGTCACGCAGAGTCGCCGCCAGGTAAAGTTCAGTGTTTCAAAATGGCTAAAATTGACCCAGTTTCACCTTTTTACCCCATTCTTTGATTGAAAAAAGCAATTTTGCAAAGGGAAAACCTACAAGACGTACGAAAAACGAGTCATTGGGCTGTAAATATCTGTTTATGTGCGTTTCGAAATTGGAAGTGTTTACAGAATACAGACAATTTATACCGCCAGCCTACCATGAAAATTCCTGAACTTCGATGGTGTCTTACAGAGATTTCCTTCACTTACCCAAGCCAATTCCCAGGTATATTTTAAATGAATGTCTAAATGTGTGATGTAAATCGCAAGAAGAGAATTTGGAGTTATACCACATGTTAAATATTGGCGGCGAAAATGAGTAACGAACTGAAATTTTTGTTATCCTGAAAACCTATCCCTCATTTTTAAAATTATTTCAGTACGACCAGCTTCCCTATTGTCCAGAAAGTATCTTCTAGTGGAAGGAAAAGAATTTTTCTGTTCGTGGAAAGCGTCCGAATTTCTCCATCCAGCTTCGTTTGCGAACGCGAGGAAAGTTGATGTTAGCGAATTTCAGGTTAAAATTAATGCAGTCTGAGACTCCGGCGACATCGAAAACCGATCTTCTATTTTTTCTCCCGAATAAAAGGCTTTCGGCGGGAACAATCTACGTTAGGTTTCTCTTTTACCTAAAAGCTATCTATGAACAAAAATGAAAGAAATTGATTCTTCAACTCTTGTCACGAAATTAAGATTTTGGTCGATTTTTCTGTTTCGCACGTCTCAAGCTCGCAGTTGAGGAAACAAAATACAAGATTCATTCATCTCTGAATAATATTATCAATTATGTCACGATCACGTAACCCACAGTCTCATAAAGAAACACTTCTCACACGGTTTCGAATACAAATATAGGTAACAAGAAACTGTTGAGTTAATCGTACAAGCATCTTTTGTAGAAAAAATTAAAGTAGAAGGGAGCGTGACCTTCGAAAACATCTTTTCTTCAATAGACGAAGAATCTTTTTGGCTGTGCGGAAAAGGTTGGTCGACAATGAGCCTTCGTGGTTTTTTTTTTTATTGTCATCAAAGGTTAAGCCCGCAACATTAAAACAGCGGCTGCGTTTGCAAATTGATTGGCGCCAAAAAAGGGTGCTCTTTTCAGTTTAATTTATTTCTTTTGATCATTCAGCAGCGTATATTAAATTCCGCATAATTATGTCATTCCGCAAGCCATGCCACATGCCATTCCGCAAACTCATTCCGCCTTTTACCCTCACCGCTTATTTAGCGCTAAAACTCCAATATATAAACAAAACACAAACAGAAAGTGGAGCTGAAAAGTCTTTATTTCAGTTTAGTTTACGTCTTCTTATTTAGCGCTAAAACTCGGATGTATAAACAAAACACACGCACATATACACAAAGTGGAGCTGAAAACTCTCTATTTCAATTCTATCTGACTATTACAGAACCGTTTTCTCCTTTCCATCTCGAGGAAATGAAAAACTATTTAAGTCTCAGCGTTTCACGCGCCGTTAGTCAGGTAATTATGCGAGTTAGCAAGCCCGCCGTTGAATACAAATTAGCTCTGCAGTAAAAACCTCAAGGGAGCGGTGTGGTGGCGGTGGTGGTGGTGGAGGAAAAAACAATACAAATGTGGTGGTGATGGTATATAGTTTCACTATTTACGAAGCAGTGTTGAAAAAAAAACGTTGAGGGTAGGGTCGATGTGGGGGTCGATGTAATGTCGATGTAGGGTCGATGTGGGGTCGATGTAGGGTCGATGTGGAGTGGATGTGGTCGTGGATGGAAAATATATAAAATAAAATTTCTCGCCGTTTCTCGCGTTGCTACGTGATCGGTTCTCTTATTCGTATTTTAATTCCTTTTAAAGGGAACCTCCACTTCAACAAAAAGATAACTTTAAATCACAGGAAATAACTGTTACAGTCAAGTCAATCTAAAATATTTTTAAAGAAAGAAAGCGTATCCGAAAGAAATAACTTTTCGATTCGCCTATTTTTGTTTTCAAATTTTGCGGGCGTCGCCATCTTCAATAATTGTGAAGTGTTACGGTTGCCCTATTGTTATTAAACAAAAGCTCTTTGTGTCAGAACAATAGAGCAACCGTAACACGTCACAATTATTCAAGATGGCGGCGCCCACGAAATTTGAAAGTGAAAATAAGCGATTTTAAAATTCACTTTTCCTGATATAAACACTTTTTTAAGGACAAATTTCGAACAAATTTGTTTATCAACATAATTTTATTCGATTTAAACTTACTCTGTAGTAAGAGTGGAGGTTCCCTTTAATAGACGGTCCGAAAACGGGGCTCAAGTTACTTAACGGGCAAGCCGAGGCAAGCCTATTGTGCCTATTGTAGTATTCGCTCATTAGTAAACCTATACTGAATTAGTATGCAGGAAGACAGTTATTAGTATGGAGGAAGGCATTTTTCCCTAGGTTATAACAATTGGTGACGTCATAGACTATCCCTAAACTATCCTTACCCATCCACCAACGGGGCTTATCTTTGCTGGAGCATAACTACTGACATGTTGACTCAAAAGCTGGGTTCTTCTCACCATAATTTAAGTTGGACCAGTATTCTACAATTTCTTTTAAAAAAAGGTCTCTTATTTTCAGATGTGATGCATCTTTTTGTTTTAATTTACACAAGAACACTAATTTCCCGCCGCATTTCTCCAAGTAGTAATCGAAAAAAACTTTCCATTTGCCTTTGTTTTCTATGTTAAGGTAGCTTTGAACCCATTTCATTTTCAATGATGCTTTAAAACTTTTTATATCAATCATCTTTAGTCCACTCTTATCGTAGTCATTAATGATTTCAGTTCTGCTTCTGGCTCCAGTTGTTCAAAAGGTGGATATCGCTTTCCGATATATACGGATTAATCTCTATCCAGTGGATAACGTAATTGGTTTCCCAAATACTTATCCACTGGATAGTGATTTATCCGGTGGATAGCCTTATCCAACTTTGAACAACCGGGGCGTGGTTAGCACCAAATGAATTATCTTTTGATGAGTTTAAGGCAAGATAAAGGGGACAGAGAAGGCATCCCCCATACACACCCTCAGTATTCCATAGCTAATTCGTCTCGAGTCATTTTTAAGACCATAGATCCCAAGGGGGATAAGACAACAGCCAATCACACAGCGCGAATGTGTTCCAAGTGGATGACCCACGCTCAGAGCCACGCGTCCTTCACGAATTGACGCAGAAAAAAATGGCGGAAGACGCGGAGAGCGATATTGCTATTTGTTTTGTCGACGAAAACGACTAAAGAGAGATTTCTGCTTAAGCTGTGTCAGCGAAACGGAAATTAAAAAAGAATCGCCCTTCCTCTCTTGCATAGAGCTAAAAGTACAGCAGAGAAATTCTTAACTCACTGAATATTCTCTCAGGATCATTTATAATTTACAGTTTGAAGAGAGCAATTTCTGGTTTGTTATTTATTTTTTTATTAGTCTTTTATTATTCAACAAAAGTAACACTCCTACTTGCTTTATTATACAAACGACCGGTTTCAATAGACCGGCGAAATTTCTCATTTTATTAAAGCACTGAGGTTACGACAACTTCGAGTTCAACTGATTTCACAGATTGTCAAAGAGTGCAGCGATTCCATTTTCCCAGATGAGCGCCGACTCATTTCGTTTCAATATTCAGAAATGCTCTCGATCTCTTCACGCTTTCATTGCCTTTCGCGCGACATGTTTTACACGGCGTTTAGTCATGCCAAACCTCCGCGAAACGTCCACGCAGCGCGCGAGGTAACTTTATCCCGATTCTAAAAATAACTCGAGACGAATTACCTGTGGAATAGGGTGTGTATGGGGGATGCCTTCTCTGTCTCCTTTATCCTCTCTTGGTTTAAGGCTAAGATCAGTTAGAGGTACGATTACAAAAAACCCCACTCTTCAATTAGTTAGAAAGAATTCGATTTACTTAAAAAATCAGTGGATAAATGGGTCTACTCTGCTCCTTTTTCTTACATTTTGATCTAGTTGTGATATTTGTGCCTTTCTTTAAGTTTGACGTTTGTAACCGTAACTTTTGTTGGGTAAATAAACGAATGATAAAAGGAAAACGACAATGAAGAGACTATTCTAAACAGTGTTTCAATAAAAATCTTTTAAACGTGTTTATACTTGGACACGAACAGGACATACGTAGCCTCAAATAACGAAAAGGAAACCAATAGCTTTTGATTAATAAACAGACGAATGAGGAAGGAAAGCAAACGACCTTGCAGGAACATTGTTAAGGCTTCTACATACCTTCTGAACAAGTGTAGTTATGGCAGCTTCCGCAGCTCACGTCATTCCACTTAAAACTATGTTTTACTCCCAGGGTGTGAACGCAATCTTCATTGTTGAAGTTGTTTGGTTGATTCTTGGCCCAGTAAGTGAAATTGTTTGTTTGATTATCTGCCCAGACAAAAGTTCCCTCCGTGTCCCTATCGCTTAGTCCAATCCAGCCCCTGGCACCATTCAGCCTATGCTGAATGTAGACGTTCTCTTCTTGGTTTCGTACACTGATGAGATTAGCGCTGTATGATTGGCAAGTCTTCTGGGCCTCGGTCCAGTTCATACAGCTTTGACTGGTTGAGTAGCAAATACCACCAAAATATGACCAGCCGGGTTTACAAACATCTGCAGGAGCCAAGCAATGAAATGTAAACGAGGTTCAGTACATATTTTAATGCATAGTACAAAACTTATGTGAATAAGTTGACCCTATAAAAACTGGAGAAAATGTGGAAACTACATAGACGTATGGTAACCTTCACGCTTAAGGTGGATTTCCACTGTCACGTGATTTTTACTTGCGGACGTACGTAAATTTTATGTGCTTAAATAAAGGGTAATGTATAAAGTGTTGGGGGGTAAACGTAAAAGTTGAGCGATGTTCAACTTTTTACGTTTAAGCGCGACCTTTCATACTTTGCCTGTATTACCAGACAGTACAAATCCACCCTAGGTTCCCCCAAACCCCAGCAAATACAAAACAATAATATAATTTAGTTAATTCGCGTGTCCCTGGTTACTGCAATTGCAAAGAAAGTCTTTTTTTCTTTTTTGCTGTCTAACCTACCTGCTAGTACTGCGTAGGACACATTCACAGGATCGTGTTGGTCAGCGTACAACTCCTTGAGACAAATGCGGAATTCGCCAGTTTTAATGTGCTGTGAAAATGATAATATCCTATTCAGACGGTCTCAGACGGTCTCAATGGGGTTAACTGTCAGCCGTCAAACGGCCTAAAATTTAACCATCAACCGTCGGCAGAAAAGGTTATTTTTTACAGTCAACCGTAAAAAAATTCGGAGTGATATTAACCGTGAAAACGTTTCAAGGTATCTCAAATCTCATTATTTCAGCTGATCTTCACGGACTTTTGGCTGATGAAGAAACTCTAAATTGGAAACACCACGGGTCAAGTTCTCAAAAACACTCTTTCTAAACATTACAATATCCCACCACTTTCATATGTCATAAAATATTTCAAAATTTTATATGTGAAAGGCCAAGGCAACTTCCAAAACACAACAGTTAATATTATCGTTATACAAAAGTTAATATTTACTTTATTTTTGGACTAAATTTTTCCTAAATAACCGTCAACCGTCAAAAGCCCTAAAATTTAGCCGTCAACCGTCAAAATTAAAAAAAACAATCGTCCACGTCACAGCTACCACTCCATTGAGACCCTCTACTTATAACTTGTTCATTTCGCTTCAAACGCTAAACTCTTCTTCAGAACAAAAGGTATCGATATTTGATTGTACTGTAATTAGTATGTAATAAACAAAACATTAGTGTTTTGTCTTTGAGGAGGGCATATGGAGTCTTTGTAACCTATGTTATGGAGAGAGTTCCTGCGCTAACTCTGACTATTTTATAACTTTGATTTGAGCCTGCTAAACGAAAACAAAAAAACAACAACAACAGCAGCATAAAAAACAAACAAACAAAACAAATCTGAGGACCTTTCATAAATTTATCTACAAACAATTCAAGTTTCGTAACAACTGAGCAAGAATTTTTTTAGTCCTTTCGCGTGCCTGTCATTAGGTTGCTTTCCTTTTTACACAAGGTTACTAAAATTCTTGACATTTGCAAGCAGCAGGAGAAACTAACTTCAGACGCAAAATAGGGAATTAAGATTTGAATAACGGTGGTTGATAAACTGAACGTTCGACGGAATGAGCATTGGAGTATGTTGGCACACGTAGATTGCTTCAAATGGCAACTTCTAAGAGATATTTTCAGTCTTCCCTTTTTTAAATTCCGAACCAATTATTACATCATACAACAACTGCATCCTTCAATACCTCAATCCATGCAGTAACAGACATATGTATCGGTTTAAGATTGTTGCCTTCTGAGTTGTGACTGGCTGCTATTATTACTATGGGCTCCTTGTCGTAATTCCTTGCAAATTGCAAATCCTGAGGATAGAAAACTTTGGCTGTTAATATCGTGCCAAAAATTATATTGAAATAAGGCCAGTGTAAAACGCAGACTGCAGAATATTGTTTTCACCATGCAAATGAGAAGGTGACAACAATAGTCTAATCGTTGTCTTACCAATTCTTACCCTAAAAACAATTGTCCGCAGTCAGTCCGCAAGTTACCCTTACCATTTCTCCTTTGATACCAAGTGATAGGTGTCGAAAACTACCCATAGTGTTCTTAGCGGAGTGTAGCCGGCAAGAAGGCTCATTTGTGCGACTGGGGTGTTCGAGGGAAACAACAGCGGCGGAGCCTAGCTCCGGTACAACATTTTCTCTGAACTGAAAACATCGCTGTACAACATAGCACGTGAAACAAGGTAAACTTAAAGATGCTCGGTTTCATGGCTTACATGTCTGTAAAATTCCCAAAGAACACAAAACGTTCCAACGGATTATGGTCGAAAACGTAAAAAAAGCAAAAAAGCAACAGCAACAACAACAACAACAACAAAACATTTCGAACTAATCAGCTCCTAAATATGCTCTGCACAAGGTAAACTGTTACAGAATGATCTCGCTTTCGCTTATCAGAAATGCTCGATCCCTACCTTACAAAACGCACCGTTGTAGTTTGCAGAAACAGGGCTGCTGTTTGGAAAATTCACTTGTTTGCTCTCGGCAAAAAGGGGCCGGTGGATTGTTTCAAAGACCATCCAATTCTGAAAAAAAGTAACAGCAGTCAACAGTGGGTTTCCAAATGCTGTTCTTATCTCATTCTGGTAGAAGCATTCTCGTTAATTCTTCAAAAATAAGCGTTCGGAAATAAAATTAATAAAACTGAAAGATTAAATACAACCGTTTGCGAACAGGTAAATCCTTATAAGATAACCCTTTAAAAACAGGCATTGGGAAACAGATTAAGACAAGTGACAGATTAAATACGATCGTTCGCGAACTGACTAGAACCCTTTAGCGATCGCTTTGGTTGTTTCGGTGCCATATGATTGAAACTATGCATGTTTTCCTTCCTGGACCCATATAGTTTGCTGTTTAAGCTATTAAGATGGTTAGCAACAGAATTAGTAAGGATAGATCTTTTCAGAGGTGCCTTATTTTTCAAAGTTGGACCAATCCTGACAGAGTTACACACAAAATAAAACCAAGCAACATTTTGGGAGAGAATCCACAGCAAATTGTGCTATTGGCCTTCTCTCCTTTGCACATTAGAAATTTTGCCATTTCTGGAAAGTTTGGTCTTCCAAAATTCAACGCGAAAGAGGGACGAAAAAAACCGCCGGTTAGTGAAAAGACAAGTAAAGGGGGAAAAGAGAGCAACAAAAATATCGAAATAGATTCCATTACATCATACAATTAGAAACGAAACATGCCCTTAGTGTTGCAAATCCTGACAGAGTTGCACACATGAACCTCGTAATCAGCCATTCCCATGCTAATTGGCCAAAAACAGGTCCAAAAAGGAAGATTTGTTAAAAAACAAACAAACAAACAAACAAATGCGTGTTTTTCGCTACTGGATGGTCTCACTAAAGGGTTAAGGGTATAACCACGCTTAAGGCATGGCTAAAATCATCAAAGGCTCTGAATAGTGGGTACTGTTTAATGGCTGTTAGTTATACAAGAGTTGGCGCTTTTATATCATCTTTTTGCACGTCTTCTCTTTCGCACAATTTTCATTTAAACCTTGCTTTCTGTGCTTTTTTCTTTAGTGTTTAGAATGTGTTTCTCTTAGAAAAATTAAGATAGTAAAATTACCACAAAGATATCTTCATGTAGACCATCATAATTCTGTAGTTCTCGAAGACAAATGTAAAAGGAGGAACTGGTTGCGTTCTCTACCCACAAACTTGCGGCATCGTGCTTAAAGGCTGCACTAATATGCTGTGCTGTAACCAGGACTGTTGGTGCAGCAGCAAACTTTCCCTGTGAAGCAATCATTGATGACAATCAAGAAATGTGAGTTGTACCTCCAGATTAATAAACAGACTAATTAATATTTCCATTTAGTAATTTTTTAAGAACATCGCAAAAATACAGAGCTTAGGATAAAAATGAAATATGATCCGCATGTAGTCGCAGTACACAACTTTTTTCGATCAAAGCATGGCTTTTTGATATGGTGGTTAAGTGTCTAACCGCCTTAAGTTGTACACGGTTTTGTCCGTTTTATTTCATCGTTTGCTTGAATATTTTCTGCTCAGTTGCTGTTCGTTTATACTTTATACACACCTTGGCAGAATTCGAAGACAAACGTTTGCCATGTTTATAAAATTTAGAGCATGAGTGAATTTTTTCTCAGTCTTGACGGATCTAGCCTGCTAGTGGGCAGTATTTTTCTATTAATTATTCACTTCAAACCTCATTTTTTAAACATCTTATAACCTTACTTTTTCTCCCTTTGCCCCAAAATATTAAATGACCCCCCCCCCTCCCCCAATCCCTCAAACCCGTTTTAGATCGAAAGGTGGAATATTAAATATTTGCAGATTGGGGAACAGGGCATTTGAAAGTGGTCGACATTGATAGGATATCTCGGATTTTTACTAAATCAGTTATTACTTATGTAATGCATAAAATAAATTTTATGATTTTCAACATTCAAATTATCTGAATATCTTGATTTCGTCCCAACACAATGAAAATCCGTTCCTAACACAATGAAAATCCAGTATGGCAGCCAGTGAAACAATGACGTAATTTCTTACTGCTGCATTGAAATTGCGAGACTTGATACCAACACTGTAAGATTCGTAATCAAAGATATTGACAATGGGAGGGTGACATGGACTCTCGCCACCTCTAGGTCTCAAAACAATTGCCTTAAGTGTACTTCTAGCCTGAGAAAACAGCCAACATTTAGCGACGCTGCCACTGGTTTCCCCACCAAATGATGTCGGAGAAACGAGCGCAGAAATTCCATACTGATGACGCGTCACTACCCAGATCTGGGTAGTGACGCGTCATCAGTATGGGATTTCTGCGCTCGTTTCTCAGACATCATTTGGCGGGGAAACCAGTGGTAGCGTCGCCAAATGTCGGATGTTTTCTCAGGCTAGTGCACTTCCAGAAAATGGAAATAAAATAGATGATTGCCTGGGGAAGGATAACTTCTTTACACTGTGATCCAGTCCACCACTGTGAAATGTGTGATTTTCCCGCCACACCACCATCAGGTGCCCCTTGGTAAGCCATCCAGTCCACAGTGGCAAACTCCTTAGTAGAGCGGTCATTTCTTCCTGCTGCTGTCACGCAGACCTAAAGATAATATTCAAAAGTTATTAGGTAAATTTCTATTTTATATCGTATGTGCATTTTTTTTTTCTGGTGAGCTGAGAATACAAATGTTAAGCCCTTCGGGCTTCCTCAGTGTACTTTTTACTTAAAATCACAATCAAAATCTGGATAACCTTTGTACAAGCTACGGGTTATATAAATTATAATTTATATACACATGAGATGAAAAATTCTGATAACGAGTTATGTAAGTATGTTACATAATATTGTGAAAAAAGGACACATGAAGCAAAATTTAAAGAGTAAAAGTGGAACTAAGAAATTGTTATGAAATTAAGAAATTGACGAGGCGCAACAGTTTCAGGGCCTCTGAATATATAAATCAACGGAAGAAACATTACATAATAAAAATGCGGCACCTTAATACCAAGTGAAAGCATATGAATAACATATACTCCTATAGATGTAAAAATAAATAAATAAATAAATAAATATAAATAAATAAATAAATAATAAATAAATATAAATAACAGAGTCCCTGAAAAAAGGGCCCCTCAAGCAGGTCAGGAATTAAAGAACAGTTAAAGATTGTTTTTTACAAATATTCATAAAAAAGGTAAGAGAAATAATAATACTGACAAAAAAATAATAATAATAATAAAAATTAAAAGGTGTAGCTGTTAATTGCACTCAATTCTATTCCTAGAGTTAACATCCAATCTTTCGACACATGGTTTTAGACGAGTATGGAAATGTTGAAATCCTATCGAGTTACAAACTATTACTCCTTGATAGACCACTGTCCTTTACGATAAACTGAAAAATTGTTTTCAATAATATTCACCTCAAAATTTTCGTAGTTAACGGTGTGCACCCATGAAACCGTCGCATCATGTACAAAATTTTTCCTACTTATGTTCCAGTGATTAGTCGTTATTTGCACGTGTACTTCTTTGTCAGGATAGAAGGAGAACGGCCGAAATTTCACCACTTTACAGGCTGTCTCAGCTGATTTTACTTGCCTTACAAGCGAAACTCGCCCGGTCTGAACTGGAAAGCCTAAACGGAGATGCATACAAATGCAAAGAGTTAAAACAGAAGAGTAGAAAAACAAGAAATAGTTTTTGCTTCAAGACCAGGGTTAATAGTTTTTTAAAAGTAACACACAAGGCGGAGGAGTAGACTTTTATATAAAAATCTCGACTAACTGTGGTTTGTTCTAATCTAAATGTACCTAATCTTGAAAATTTATGTATTGAAATTCGTAAACCTAACTCAAAGCCATTTCTGATAGCTACATGGTATAGACCTCCTTGCTCTTCGATTGATTTAGTTTATTTTATGAATCATTTCTTGAACAATTAGATTCCCTTGGTCTTGAATATATCTTTTAGGTGATTAAAATTGTAACCTGGCCTCTTTACAATAATGATTCAAATACTCGTCGCTTATATGAAATTTCTGATTTATTTGGGCTTCAACAACTTATAACTGAACCTACTAGCAGAAGAGAATCCTCGTCAACTTTAATTGATTTAATTTTTACAAACTATGTCGACAGGATAGTCTGTTCCGGAGTCTCTCATATTGGCATCAGCGATCACAGCCTTATATACGTTTATAGGAAATTATCTCCTGCTTTTCCCTCGAAAGAGCATTCAACCATTTCTTACAGAAATTTTAAGAATCTTAATCGAGAGCGTTTTCGTAACGATATCGACCAGCAGGGCTGGACTTGTAACGGCTCTGATGATCCTAATGTTTTGGTGGGCTGACTGGAAAACGAATCTTTTCGATGTTGTTAACTTTCACGCTCCACTCCAAAGTAGACGCGCTAGAATAAAAAAAGTACCCTGGATCAATTCAAAATTAAAGAAAGGCATGCGCGATCGTGATGCTCCCAAAAGATCGCTATGGCATCGAATGATCCACGCGACTGGGCAAAGTACTACATACAATAAATAATAACATCAAGACTTCTAAAGCCTCTTATTATTATAATGCTTTTAGTCAATCTAAAGGTAATTCTCCAAAAACGTGGCAAACCATTAACGAACTTACTCCCCGTCGCACCAACAATACAACAGTGGAAGAATTGAAGTTAAATGGTTCCATTATTTCTAATTCTAGTGAGCTTTCTCATGTTTTTAATAACCATTTTTCAATAATTGGGCTCCACCTTGCCAATGAAGCTACTGATAACTAGGCCTTCAATATCGATAGTGGTGATGTTAATGCTGTGGCTTTTCTTGATTTAAAAAAGGCATTTGACACTGTTGATCATGATATCCTTTTATCTAAAATGAACCTTTATGGAATACAAGGAATTGTTCTTGACAAGTCGTACACAACGATGTCTCGTTAATGGTTCCCTTTCTAGAATCTGTTCACCTAAATGCGGGGTACCACAGGGAACAATCCTTGGTCTCCTTTTATTTCATATTTACATCAACGATTTGCCAAACTGCCTTCATGCCAGCCTAGGATGTATGCTGATGACACACACATCACTTACGCAGATGTTGATGTGAATTCAATACAGTTAAATTTGGATCACCATTTAGCTAACCTAAACAAATGGCTTATTCTAACAAACTTACATCGAACACTGCTACAACTGAACTTATGCTAATTGGATCAACACAAAAATTGAGTACTTTGTCGAGCCAACCCGAGCTCTCAACTGATAATGTTCCGATAGTAAAATATACCTCTGTAAAATCACTTGGAATATATATTGATGAAAATCTACGGTGGCAAACGCACTTCGATAAATTATCTAAAAAGATCGCTTCCGGGATAGGAGCAATTAAAAGCAATAGAGGTGTTAATCCATTGCTTGCTCTCCATTGTGTATACAACGCTCTCATTCAATCTCAATTCGATTATTGTAATATTGCCTGGGATAATTGTGGAAAAACGTTGTTTGACAGGTTACAGAAGCTTTAGAACCGAGCTGCTCGTGTTCTAACCTTTCCTAGATATGCTGCTGATGTCAACCGCTTATTTAGACAAGTTAATTAATTAATTTATTATTTATTTAATCGCTTTCACCATGATTACAATGCTAAAAAAGACTAAGGAAAAAAATACATTTGAACAAGACACAAAAACGGGGGACGAAGGTGCGGGACACACAACAAAGCGAGGCTCCAAATTAAGTGTGCCCGTACGGAAAATACACAAATACTAACTATGTAAACATTAAACATTGTAAAAACTATAAAAATGCCATTTGTAAAAACGATAAGAATGAATCCCTCCCGCAGCCGATAAAAAGTCTTAGTAGCAGCAGTTACCAGCTAATGGAAGATTACGTGACCTACTGCATTTGCAGCAGATCGACTTCCAGGTGTTGAAGTTAGTGACGTCAGAGTAGCGTTGGAGTACGTGAGATTTAAACTGATGAAGAGAACTAAGAGTACGAGTGGAAAGACTTGAGCACTCAGTTTCAAATACAAAAAGCCCTAATGGTGTACAAGACTTTAAATGATCTTGTTCCACGATATTTATCCTCTAAATGTGTTAAACGATATGAAACGTACTATTCCTTAAGGGACTCTGTTTACTATTTGTCCCGTTCCAGCGAACTAACTTCATAAAGAACAGTTTCAGTCACAGCGGAGCAATTCTCTGGAACAGCCTGCCCTGTGATATGAGAGAGGCTAAATCTTTAAGTCAATTTATAGGATTGGCTCATCTGAATTTCTGATTTTTTAAGTACTGTGTACACGACAATTCATAACAAACAGGACTTAGTTAGGTTAGTTGTAGATAGTTTTGCATATTGTTTAGGGTAGTTATAGGTTTATTTAAAATTTTTTATACTCCTGATGAATTTTATCGTGTTCAAATAAAGAATTATTCTATTCTATTTTATTCTATTCTATTCTATTCCACATCCAGGTAGTTCGCATCCAGCAAATTAGATTAACAAAGAGAGGGCCGGTATGGATTTCTCTATCAACTCATCTATGGTGATGGGGAGTATGTGTGTGGAGGGAGTAAGAGGGACATGCGTTGAGAAGGCGGAAACAAAAGCAATACTTAATCCTGACCCAGGCCTAGTGGATCCTCTCATGCTTTGTAGTAGGCAAAAAAGAAGTAATGTAAAAAAGCCTAAGAATTCTACCTGTACAGCTGCCAGGATGATAAAGCGTGTGGTTGCTTTTGCGTTGGCAAATGTCCAGCAGACAAAAGCACCTGTTCTTGAATGTTGTCGAGTTGGATGAACACACTGGCTCCTCATATGACGGGCAGTTGTCATCACAAACACAGCGGGCATCAAATGCAGAGAAAGCTTTGCAGATGGCATGGTAATCGCAAGTAACATTTGTGCACGGGTCAATATCTTTGAGACAAAATACAAAATCACTTCTTACGACAGGAATTTGACCAATTTTTTTCCTCAACTCCTACCGGAAATCTTCCTGAAGCATGAAGTGCTTAAAATAATACATTTTTCGGAAAACTATTACCCCATTCGGCATGCGGGGCTAGACCTAAGTCAGAAGAATTATAAAAGACAATACATTTTGTAAGGCCTCACTACATGTGTATATGTCCAACTGAAAAAACTTGTCCTTTTTTGTTTTTCTTTTCTTTTTTCGATTTTAAAACTGTTTATATCTTAACTAAAGTTTCTTCTTTTGGATGCAATGAAAACAACAAATTACCTCCCACAACTGCATAGTCCACTGTAACTGGATCGTGCGACTTGCTTATTCCCTGGCTGTCCTTGATGCACAATTTAAAAGACAAACGAGTGATTTCCTAGAAGACAACAAATTCATTCAGGTATTACTGCTACAAATTTAGCCAGAAATCCTGTTCAGTTCGATCAATTTACTACTCCGGTCAAACTAAGTTACAAAAAATTTATAGAATTCCTAAACAATGAACTAAATATTAAATTTATAATTAAGTACCTGGCAGTTCAAAATTTCCCTAGTCTATCCAAGTAAAATGAGAAAAAAAGTGGAGCTTTCTGCGTCTTAAGTAGGTTCGTAGTTCCTAGATTTGTAAAGAGGGGGTATGTCTTTTGTGGGGTGAGAAATCCAAACGCAAGAAAAGTGTGTGCAGAAAATAAATTTTTAGAATTATCTAAATCAATTTTTTCGACTGACTCAATTTTACTGAAATTGAATGAAGTTCTTTTATTCGCCAGTTTTTTTCCAGCCCACATTTAAAATTAAATAAAAAATATTGAAAAATTGCTTGGTACAAAACCGTGGTTGAAACGACAGTAATGACTGAGGAATTTGACACAAGTCAAATATAAAAGCGGTGCAGCCATTTCGAGCGCTTAATTTATTTTTACTCAGTTACTTGGAGTGTGGAAGCAATTGAAAACAGCACCCTAAAATCAGTTTCAATAAATGAGGAAATATAAATGGCTGTATATGGTCTAGAAAATTACTTACCTCGATCCAAACATTTAAAGCGTTGCTAAAACGACCATCAGCCTTCATCCACAGAGCACTGGTGTCGTTGTCATGTCTAGCAGACGCGAGGACACTAGGAGGCTCGTAAAATGGATTTTCGAATTTATAATCCTGAAAACCATTATTACACAAAAGTGCATAGTTAAAGCCTTATTCAAAGCTTATCACCTTATTATTCCGACCTCGGTTTAAGAAAAAGTATTGAAGTTCATAGGCCTTTCTGTATTTTTCTTGTTTTAACAGTTAAGACATTTAAAAATGCATCAGTCCATGTACACTGCCTGCCTCCCATAGCTTTTGCTAAATGTAGGTAGTGTGTATGTGTTATCGGTTTCATTGCTGTCAATAACGTTTTTGTTTGTTGTTATTGTTATGTTAGACAGTTCCTATTTAACTTGCCTATAATAATGGGTAAAAGTGTTTTTCCTCTTAAAGTCTTGCAAGTTTTCCAAAAGAAATAAATAACAGAGATTATAGTGCAACATCAAGGTTTATAAAGACTGCTAGTGGATGCACTATTGTACAATTCAAATATAGTGTGCAACGGAAATCAAGATCAACGATACGGTAAACCCTATTTTGTCACTGATAACCGTACATTCATTATAGAAACAGACCGCTATAGTTTCTCTTGGAAATGGGCGATACACGTTTTCCCTTGAGCTGAACTAAACTAAACAGAGGCTCATCAAAGACATATAGAAGACTGTTAGTCTTTCCTACCTGACAAAAAGCATAGTTGTTTTCTTTCTTTGGTGCACCAAGTCCAGAAAAATGAAGCTTTCCTCTTTCAGTAATATTCCAAGACCCCGGGAGCACATCATACGCAAGCCAGTTCTTTAAAAAAAAGAGAATATGCACAAATTTATTTGCAGATTTGCGGACGATTATTATCATCATTCGTCGTCCTGAGATGGGGAGCTCCGAGAGACAGAAGTGCTGCAAAAAGCATTGGGAACAGGTATATGTAACCTAAATAAACTAGCACTTAAGACGTTAACTGAATCGATTTTCTTGTTTTCACTGTTGTTTTTGATATATTAATTTTAGTAATACAAGTTGGAGAAGAAGCACGATATAGAATTTATTGTACCTAGAAGTGTAGTGTGCGATGCCACCTGACTGGAACGCACCCTTTAGTTACCCCAAGGTGGACTTCTTTGCCACACAGACTCTGCGTGGTAATTTCGTGAATAGAGCAATAAAGACTAGTCACCTCAGACTTCTCTAATTTCAACTTACCACTTTGAGACCTGAATGGATGCCGTCAAAGCTCATAAACTCCCTCAAGCAAACCACAAAACCATCCTTTTTGACGTCTTCTAGCCAAATGTTCATGGAGTCAAATGGTCGGTCGGAATGTTTATGTAGAACAGTCACAAACACTTGGGGTCTCGCCTAAGACAGAGTATAACAAAAGAACAATTATCTATGACACAGAAAAAAAAAGAAGAATGAAAATGTAGGGTCTGGGATTCTACATAACCCTGATGTGACATTTTCAAAGTTCCTTCTAAGTGACTAATTATGACAGTAAAGCATGGGACTTCCGAATTCTCGATTGTACATGTAGCTTTAGGCTTAAGGCCCCTTCTTCCATGCCTGATCGATTTTGTCCAAGTAAGGATGTATTGTTTGTCACCTGTAAGTATGTTAAAATGACTGATTGAATTCACCTACTTTACCATCTCACCTTATTCTGAATACTAAGCGATATCTTCTTGCACTGGGTTCTTGAGGTGAATTCATCAAATTCAACGATTCCTGAATCAAGACCTTGGTGCGAGCCTTGAAAAGCAAGCCAGTTGATCACAGACGCGCCTCTAGAACCAGTGCCTGCTTCACGAACGCAGGCATCGAAACCAGATGTGGAGAGTGACTTCACCCAAACAGACGCTGGGTCGTGGATTTTGACATGTTCGCTTCCGTGGCTAAGCGTTGCAAACACCTTTACATCTCCAGAACCCTGGAACTGAGTATTGAAAGAAACGGTCTGGCAGCCATGGTTGTTTTGGGATGTGTCGGAAATATTCACCTTCCCAGTTTGAAAGACATACGCTTGAATACCATACATGCAAAAAAAGTTTTAAGTATTTTAAAGTTAAATATCATTTAATTGCATTGAAGTAATACCCTGTCATCTGTATGCGTTCCCTTTCATCGACCTTGTATACAGTCATTGCACAGACAAATATACCTAATTGTAACCACTCCATATTGATTCCAAGGGATTGCTTCATGTCCCAGTTCATAAATAAAATGAAATGGACCTTAACACAAACCTTTACCGAGGAATCATTGGTATTTAAGAACGGATACACACATAAAGTTAAGACATTTTTCACTATCATCGACTTTCTTAAATTTGTGGGTTCGCGGTCATTTCTGACAGTTCAAAAAGGTGGAACCTCCCTTAACATTTTCTAAATGCAACGTGAATAAATAATCAAGTTGTTTTACAAAATGTTTCTTCTCTTGCAGAAACTGTAAGAAATCAGTAGTCAAGAATCATTCAATAGCTTAGACACCTACCTGTAGTGAGCGGCAAAAATAACATCTGAAAAGCGAAGTAACCGAAGACTTGCTTCGCCAGCATTGTCTTCACTCTTGACTGTGCTTTACTTGCTGTATCTTACCTCTCCGGCAAATACTTGGTGGGTGTGTTTTTCAGCTCTATTTAAAGTCGACTGGTTTTGGAATGAGGAAGATTTTCTACATTTGAAACCTCTTTTCATGACTGGTTTGAAAATATGTTAATCAGATTCAAATCAGACGTTTCAGCGCTGAACAGTGAGATTAGCTCCTTACTATGTTATTTTATGATTTAGCGGAGAGAGTAACAATTGAATTAAAAGAGAGTGTTCCCCGTCGTAAGACCACCGCACTATTTACCACAACAAGCTTCTCAGTAAAGGAAACAATCGAACACGATTTACAATTCTTACCACATCGCACAAGTCTAACAAGGATTCCAATACATCTTCTTTAAAATAATACAACGAACGTGAACTCTTCCTAACCAATGACACAAATTTTTCAACTTGGTACATTGCGTACGATCGCGTACCAAAAACAAGAAAAGCAATGAACAAAATTGCTGATCTGCAAAAAAAAAAGGGTGGTTGAAAACATAAATAACAAATAAATAAAATCATAATATGTAAGACTATTTTCTTTCTTTCTTTCTTTTTTCTTTCAAGCACACAAACCTTTAAAATCAGATTTCGAGAAAATATGATCCTCCCTTGGAACAGCACATTTCCGCGCTCAAGCGAGGTTAAAGGCCAGTCCAACCTCTTTAAACATTCAAACAGCTTCTGTGCGTAACGCAAATCTCCCTCACGAAACAATTGGTCCACAGTGTCTTTATATTGCGTATACACTGTAAATTTGTGCTATAGCCACCGAATGCACAGGCACTTTTTAGGGACCCTATACCTTCCCACACTAGTTTTGATTTAAATTATTATACCTGCCTGCTCACAGTACATTAAATTTGTAACAAGTTTTGTCTAGCGAAGTTCAAGAACAGTAAACTGACGTCACATTGTTACTATATTGTGTTGGAATTATATAACAGTGTATGACAACTTCTTGTGATGAAAGCTGGCGCAGCGTAATCAGGAGTCAAATAAAGACAGAAAAAAAAACAAGAGAAAAAAGAAAGTAAAAGGGAAAAAGAAAAGAAAGAAAACACATGGAAAACGTCCTCTGAAAATCGTTTATTGTTCAGTAACACTTAAACCCATCTAAATAATCGAGAGGACAGTTTTCGTGAAAGGATGATCTTCTTGGGTTCTATGCACCTGCATACATGTATTTCCGCACTAAAGCGAGGTTAAGGGCCAGTGCGGCCTCTTAAAACTTATAACAATAAAGTTCTATCTTCCGAAAGAAAACAGTCAGTCTCAGCTACAGTTTCATTTTTTGAACGCAGATCACACTATAAATTGGTGCTACTGAACAGTGCACTTTCACTTTTTAGGGAAAGTGCTTAGGTTTGTTTTAAATTACTACACTTGCCGGGAGTTCACAATGCGTAAAATGGTCGGCACTTTTTTGACAAGGTTCATTAGGACTTCAAAACTGACGTCACGTTGGTATTATTTGAGTTACATGTAAAAATAACAGTGCATAACGACAACTTCTTGTTAAGAAAATAGACGCTGCGTAACAAAAATTCAACATCACAATAAAAAATAAAATGTGGATCACTTAGTCTAACAATCATTTTAATTTGTTTCAGATTATTTAAACCCTTAAGATAATCCAGAAGTGTCGTGAAAAATAAAAATCTTCTATAGACATCGGCATTTCTTTGCTCAAACGAGGTCAAGAGAGAGTCACCTCTAAAAATCTCAATACAGCTTCTCGATAAGCTTCACGCAAATCTTCCGAGAGAAACTGACTATCTGTCTCAGCTACAGTTTGTAGACACCCATAAATTGCTGCCAATGAATGTCATTTTTTAGGGAACTGATACAGTTTTAATTAAAAATGCTAAACCTGCCGGGAGTTTCAAATACGTAAAATTGAAAGTTACGTCTAAAAAGGTTTAAGAAAGGTATAAGTTGACGTCAGGTTTGTTTTTAGAATTTCATGTAAACATCACGGTGCACGACAACTTCTTGCTAAGAAAATAGACACACCTTTAAACCAGGATTCAGAAGAGAACTTTCTCTCAGCATCCCGTTTTTGTTTAGGCACATTAAATCCCCTTTACAACACCGAGGACAGATTTCGTGAAAAGTTAATTTTCTCTTGGCAGCTGCACATTTCCACGCTAAAGCGAGGTTAAGGAGCAGTCTCCACTTAAAACTCCCATTACAGCTTGTGTGCTTGCATGTATGCAAACCTTACAAAAACAAGAAGAAAAATCAGTCCCAGATAAAGTGTTGTTTTACTAAATGCGCATTCCCTATAAATTGATTCTTCTTAACAATCTGAACGTACCGCCACTTTTTAGTGAAAGTATTCCTCCACTATCTTTGATTTAAATAACTTTACTTGCGGAGCTAACAATACTTAAAATTCCTTCCTCTACGATTTATCTACCAAGGCTCAAGGACCTCAAACTGACGTCACGGCGCTATTCGAGTTACATGCTAATATATGGCGCACGACTACTGTTTGTTAAGAAAATGGACACACCGTAACCAGGATTCAAAAGTAAATCAAAGCTTGGAAACTTTCTTCGAGTTATCTTTTTGTTTAGGTGCATTAGAACCCCTTTACATAATCGAGGGCACATTATGAAAGATAAGATGACCTTCTCTTGGTATTTGCAGGAGCCCATAATGTCTGTGCATATTTTCGCGCTGAGGCGAGTTTAAGGACCATTCACCTCTTAAGCTTTCTACGCAAATCCTCCTGAAGAAAATAATCGGTCTCCAATGTTTTTTTTTCTTAGTGCTTTGCTATTTAGTTTTTCGCTTAAGTTTTCATGTTTTGTTTATCAGTCATTGGGGTAGGGATTTTGCTTGGGGATGTGTATGTGAGCCAACTCAGTGATTTCTTAAATTTATCATGTTATGGCAACAGGCTGAGAGTGAAATACATTCATCTTTGTAGTTGGCTTTCACTTAAACACATGCTATGGCAACAGACTGAGAGTGAAGTACATTGGTAGTTGGCTTTCACTTAAAAAAACACAAAAATAGAATTGGGTAAACCCAGACTATTGTCCTCAAACCAACTTTCAGCTGCAGTCACACAAAAGTAAAGAATGTGACTTAGGTTGTATTCTCTTGCATCTTCAAATTCGATTAAAAAAAACTTAAAAGTCATTGTTATTAATAACCTGTTACACAGGAGGTAATGTAAACCCCACCTCCACCAACCCAAGAAAAGGTGGGTATTTCAGGGCTTCTGATATTTCGCGCGGTCGCGGAGCCGCGAAATTCAGGTAAATCCGCGAAATCCCGCGCAATTCACAAAAACACGAAAAATACCGCGAAATTCGGTAGAAATCTTATCAAATACATGTCTGTACAACATATTTGAAACTTATTTCAGCTATAGGGGCTATTTACTTGCCGTAAACTTGCAAATTTATCTTGGAATTCGTCACTGCAAACAACGTCCCGAAACTACCAGGCGAAGTATGTTGCGAAAAACTGAGCACTATTCATGATGTTAAAGGCCTTGCCATTGGTGCATTTCGGGAGCGTATTGTTGAAAGAGCAAATGATGACCTCTGTTAGAAAAACGTTAAAAATGCTGGTCTGATCAGCCCAAAACTGATCGATTTCTAGCGAAAATTGCCATGAAAATAACCACAAAATCGGCCCTTTTTTAACGATTGCTTTTTGTTGAGGTTTGCCCCCAAAACGCCCGCGAAATTCCCGCTAAATAGGCCGATTTTTCCGCGAATTTGTCTCCAAAAATCCCGCGAAATTTGACTTTTTCTTCCCCGACCTATCGGAAGCCCTGGTATTTGTTAGAAGTTTCACCCCAAATATAAAAAAATACTCCTGCCATCACTTCCTGAGATTATTTTATGAAACGGCTTTTTAAAAAAAACAAAAACAAAAAGAAAATTAGAGGCTTTAGAGGGCTTTTCTGTTATGGACATACGAAAATTTTAGGCCTATAATGCATAAGGGAAAGGTTTTATGACAGTTAAAAAATTTAAAAACGTACAATATGTACAAGGATTTGTATGGAAAAACACTCCACTGTGACTGAGGAGCAACAGTTGTCCCCATGTCCCCATACAGGCAAATCCTTCTAACTTTCACTGACTGCCGCAGTCACTACATACTTTTGAAACACACAGCTGAAGCTTTACAGGGCACCTAATTTTAATATGCTCTTCACGTCCTAGTAAAATCATTTTTCTAGAAAGAATTGCCTTTGTGCTCAAAGCACGGTTTGTTACATGAAGTCAGCATTGCATTGTCTTTTCTCTAAGAAAATAAAATCTACTGGCTTTACGCCACTGTCAGAGTCAAACCAAGCAACTGAGGCCATTGTTTCAATATTTCTTAACTACATGTGTACAGTATACATACATTTGATGTGAACACAGAAGTCAGCAAATGCAAAGTTACCTTAAGCATCTTTGTCCACACAGAATAAAATGAATATATCAAGCATAAGATTTTACAAAAATAATAACCTTTTTCCTAGTGTCTCAACATCCTCACAAAGACATTCATTAATTAACTCAATAAAATTGGAATTGACTGATGCATAAAATAGTTTTCACTGTACACTCCTAGCCCTTGTGCATTAATGTGCAGACTGTTGAATTATCAGTGTTAGTGTAGGAAATGGAAGACAGAGGCCTGTTACTACTAACAGGCTACTACTATTCACTGAGATGCGAAACTCAGCTGAATCAGCTGTGCTTAGGGGCAAACCATAGTTGAAAATTTATCACCTAAAAACAAAAAGAGAAAGGAAGAGGAATTTTAACACCTACCTTAGTTCATACCCTGATCCTAGAGGTTTTCTTGAAATTTTTCTTGGCCAAAGAGAGAGCGAGCCGTGAAATGGCAGCAATGAGTTGTGAAGAGGAGAGGAGAGAGAGAGAAAACCTCTGGTTCTTGGCTTGGCCTCAAATCTCACTTTCATGCAGATGACATGCAGATGACAGCTGTCAAATGGGTCAAACTGCTAATAAAAAAGTGACCAAATATGGCAATTTAGCAAACATGTGAGCAGGAGTTGACCCGGGGAAATTAATATTGTATCAACAATCCATCTCCACTCAGGTGGTGAAGAGTGATAAGATGTCACTTGATCTTGTTTATAACATTAATCGGGGTCAAGCATGGAATTTGCCAGGTAATTTGCAGCAAGAGTCCAGGAATAAAAACTTCGCTAAAAGAAACCAGCATTGTTCCCAATGACTTCTGCAGGATTTGCAGAATTGATTTTAAAACCAGTGGCCGATCTAAGATCAACGTTTTTGGAAAAAATAACAAGGAGTTTTTCAAAACATTATCATCAGTTCTGTCGTCCGATGTTATACAACAGAATATGATGGGAGTATTGCAGATAATCTGCCAGAGGTGCCAACGAGAAGTTTTGCAATTTTTGAGGGTGTTAGAGCAACTGGAAAAATTCTGGGAAAAATGTAACAAGGCCCTAAGAATTAAGTTGGCAGAGAGTTGCACAGGAAATGACAGAAGTGCTGCATGAAAGATTCTCTGGATGTTGTGCCTCAAATGCTTTGCCTGAGAGGCTAAGGCCTTTCAGAAGAAAGCAGAAGTAACATTTACACTGAAGCGATTGGGTTATAAACTGACATTCAAAGGACACAGCATCATAAGGTATTTAAATCATTTTTCTACCAAAGACGTGATAAATACCCAGTTCTGGATATATTTAAAGGATGCATGCTGAGCAGAGCTACTCATTGCTCATTGTACTCTGAGATTGTGTAAACTTCAAAATATAAAATAATAAAAATAAATAAATAACGATTTGGAGGTAGCACATCCACATAGTGGTTCTTCGCCTACCTGATTCCTGGTCAAATTGGAATTTGGAAATGTTGGTTTTGAGGAGAGGGGAAAACCAGAGTACCCGGAGAAAAACCTCTTGGAGCAAGGGAGAGAACCAACAACAAACTCAACCCACATACGGCATCAGACCTGGGAATTGAACCCGGGCCACATTGGTGGGAGGGGAGTCCTCTCACCACTACACCACCATTGCTCCCCAGCCATATCATCATTCAATGTTTAAAGTGTAAAATCCCTGAAAGAGTTCTCCTCACTGAGGCAATATGTAAAAGGTTTTACGCCAGTGAAGATGTGCGGCCTGTCACCCCTTGCAGTTTCCACTTATTTTACAAACAATTTTCTTCCCTGGTAGAGGGAGGCAAAATTTACCAAAAGAAAGGAGGTGAGAAATATCCTCAGCATCCCCTCAGTAGTTACAGTCAAACGAACCAATCAAATTGATTTGCATGTTTCGAAAAATATCAACCAATCAGCACCAGAGGGTCAGATCCTGACCCTGTCATCTGCATGAAAGGAAGGTAAGGCAACAAGAGGTTTTACTCTCCCTCCTCGCCGCTTCGCGACACGTTGTCGCCGCTTTCGGCTCGCTCTCTCTTTCACGAAGAACATTTCAAGGAAAACCTCTGGGACCAGGGTACTACCTTCAATACAACTGCCTTTTTTTTTATCCTGCCTAAAGTTTGCGGTCTACATTTTTATCCTGACCGACCTTGAAATTCAGTTCGCTTTATCGAAATTTTCGACAACGTATATACTTAAACTCATTTAGTAGTAAACAATATGCTATAACAGAGAAAGAGATCGAGACAGAATTTTCTTCTCTTTACGCCAAAATATGACCACTTACCTAGTTGGCACATTCCACTGTTTCTCTCCAAAATGTTGACGCGCAGCCCGTTCAGGCGATAAAATCCTCGTTCGGTTTTCCAATTCACATGGCCAGATATCAAAACTCTCTAAAGAGGCGAAAAGAGAATGATTGTGGAGCCTGCGAAGAATTTCTTGCTTTAAAAACGCACACACTTGATCATCGTTGGTCGCCATTTTACAAAATATCGTCCAGGCGTTACTCGGAAACCGAGGTAAAGACTAGGCAATAAGACCACTTGGGGTGCACCGGGGGTGGGAAATGTTGTTCTTCCCCCTTCGTGTAAGTGCCCAATTGTCGCTCTGTTCAAAGTCCGGAATAAATTAACCGATTCGAAAGGGAAGTAATGATGCTTGAAAGGGAAATAATGAGGGGAATAGGTTGGAGCTGAAAGAATTTCAGCGGATACGAATTTCGGCTTAAGAAAATAGCACTGCATTTTTGTTGCGACTGGTCTAGCGTCGTGCCAAATCGCAATGACCAGTCTTTGACTTCATCTTAAGCCAGTTTCCCCCTCTCATATCTCTTTGCGTCGGACAACTTTAGCTGCTCATTTTTCTATGCCACTTTTGTCTTACAAGCGACTTTGATAAACTGGGAAAGCTGAATAAGAGAGCTCTAACGAGTGTGCAAGTATATCTGCCCACCGATTAGACCCAGCCGCAGCAAATTTCCACCGAAGAAAGAGAAGAAAACCACGCTTTACAACCGTAGACTTCAAAACAAGGCTTTATTGGATTACAAATCATTGAAAACCTAAGGTCCATGGTGCATTGAAAAAATTTTCCAGTAGACCATTTGCACTATGACATCATTTTACTATTACGACCAGAATCCTTCAGGGTTTTGCTTTCTTGTGCAAATGAGGGCTTTTGTTATTCAAACCTCACTGGGATAACCAAATTTAAATATGAAAGAAGAAACGAAAAGGATTGCGGTCGTAGAAGTAAAATAACGCCATCGTGCAAGTGGCCTATTACGTGTCTCCAAATATTATTGAGAGGAGTAGGTAATCACGTGACCGTACTCCGACCGACCGCCCGAGCGTCGGTCCGCACCACAGGGCAACCAATGTTTAATCTCACACTTTCTAGCTAGTTTGGGAGTCCAGGTGCAACCTGATATTGCACATCCATGTTGTGATCAATTGACAGCTGTCAAAACAGGGTATCCACTGACCAGTATCACCTGATCGTATCGCGGGCTCACGTTTGACCCATCGAGGTCAAGTACTTTTTGAAGTTATCCGCTGGCAAGTTACTAGTTTTCAAACGATCGCAGGCTCAAGTTCATTTTTTAAAAAAATGCATAGGAAATACGTTGTGTTTATGAGCTGCACTATTACAGTGTAACATGCTATCACTCGTTCTTGAAAATTGAGCGCGCAGCATTCTAATCGTAGACACAACATGTAAGCTGAGTAACCAACATTCAACTTGAAAAACCAAAAACTAACTTTGCAATTTCAGTCTTCATTTTGGGGGGCCTCTTTTTATTTCATTGTAATTATGACATTAAAGAGATACATATTTCCTCTAAATTCTATTCGGAGTTACTTCAATGGTGGTCTGAGTTTCGTAGTGTTTTCGATAGTAGAAGGGAATGTCAATATATTTTGTGGAATAAATAGAGATTACTTCATGGTTGGTGAGTGCGTACGATTTTTATTCACGAGTTGTGAAGAATCGAAAACGAACGAGTGAGCGCAGCGAACGAGTGAGTTTGCGATTCTTCACAACGAGTGAATAAAAATCGTACAAGCGAACCAACCATGAGGTAATTTGTTTATTATATATGTACTGAGATATTACAAAATAATGTTAACAACTATCAATTGCGCGGTGAAATCAACACAAAGACCACAACGAGTTGCGAATGATTTTATTCCAGCAAACTGAACGTACAAAACTTCCTACAACATTAAAGTTATTCAATGACTCTGAAGAAAGTGGAACAAAGTCTACTTTTAAACGATTCTTTAACTTTAAATAACAATGAAAATTTTCAGCTTTAAATATCGCCGTTCAAAACCGTAACTAAGATATAAAATTTGAAAAAGTTGACTGTTTTGTAAATCTAATTATAGTAATGCATGCATTCTAATCAGAGTCAGAGTCCAGTACTTTTAGCCTTTTGTACCTCTTTGGAGAAGACTTTACCTCAACTTCTTGGATTGCCAACTTCGGGGATTGATTGAGGCTGTTAATAGAAATGCTGAATTGACCTCCATGAATAACAGCGCCCGTGAAAAGCGACATCGCTTGTTGGTGATGATCTGCCGCCGAGCGACCCGCCGAGCTAGCTGAAGGATCAGTGGAGCATTCTCCAACTTGAGATGAATTAGTTTTCTCTAAGCTATGCACATTCCCGGACATTAGTTCACTTAAAGTACGAGACATTTTTACTTGCTGTTTTTCAGAAACTACAGAATAATTTGTCACACTTTGAAGATTTTTATGTCCCGACAGTTGAATAATATCTGTCGCTGGGATGTCGTTGTTTGTTAGTTTGGATCATTGTTTTGCGACCGCTATGGTTCTTTACATTGGGTCCCAGCCCGGCTTTTTCTGCCATTTTTTTCATTAACGAATTCAGCTTGTTCACGCCAACGGCTGACTTTTTAAACCATGGTTTAGAAGAATCTTGTTTTTTACAGTTATTTACTGCTAGATAAAATGGCGCGTTGTTGTCGTTCATTTCCGACGGTCTTTTCTCCGCGTAGAATTTGTAAACAGTGACGGGATCTCTTTCACTTCCCTGAACCGAAAACATTTTCGGTTTTATTTGCCTGACATCTCTGGGATTTTCTCCGGTTCGAGTCTTAGTTTGTCTCTCAGTATACTCTAAAAATTCCTCGCCATTTGTAGTTTGGCGTAGTTGCACATCGCCCCAACACATGTCTCTGTGTTCCTTACAACCACGGAGACCGAAATAGACTGTGTTGTTGAACCAAACTGTATTCAGTAGAGCCTCAGGAGTTGACTTTCCTAACAATCCTTTGTCATACAGCAGTTTTATGTCGTCTTCTGTGAGGGGAACTGAAGCGTTTGGTTTATCGCCTTTGCCTTTCTTCTTGAGATCTCTTTGTTTTGATTTTAATGCCGTTCGTGCTTTTTCAAACTCGACGTCTCTCATAATGCTGTAGCCGTAATTCTTCTTCTTTAAATACCGTTCAAAACTGGCCATCATAGCACGCAAGGAAGTGGGTTCGTAATCTTCGTTGTTTTCTTTCTTTCTTACTGTTATGATAAATTCACTGATGAATGAACTCAGTTCGTGTGGGGGAATTTCTTCTACAGGCCTTGACTCATCTTTTAGCCTCAAAAACTCCTTAAGCAAAGCAACATTCTGTTCAGTTTTCTTCCTGGTGTTTTCGTTTTCTTGTCCTTCAATAAATTCCTCTACTGAAGTTATATCTGCAAACCTTGAATTGCTCGAAGAGGACGCCATGGTTTTCCTTTTGCCTAGTGACGCCGTCAGTGAAAGGCGGGAAAATCGATACGATTTTTGTCACTAGTGAAAACTTTCGTCTGCGGGTTGTGATTGGTCATACGGTATTTTTCACTAGTGAGAAAAATCGTACAACCAATCAGATTGCGTGTACTCTGCAACGCATCATTTTTATTTGACATATTCATTTTGCAGTAAATCTCAGTACATATATAATAACAAGAGATACGCTTTGATAATAAGCCTGTTTTCTATAAAAAAAAAAAAACTTTTTGAACAAGATTTCTTTTTCGTAAATGATCTTTTGTTGGAATTAGAAACTACAAGTTCTTTTACTATTACTTCGAATTAAATTTGCAATTTAACTACCTAATTTGGGCAGGGCTTTGTCACTCTGTTCCGAAACATCATGTAAAAAATAGCAATTGTCTTCGCTCAGAACTAAGCTTAATACTGACAATCGATAATAAAGAATTTGATATATTGGAAAAGAAATGTAAAGGTTTTGACTGAGCAAATGTGATTTTTGCTACTTGTATTTGATACTGAGAGGTCGTGGCACGCATGTTGATTTTCTGCGGTTTATTACTGTTTCTGGTCGGCATTATTTGCCCTCTAAAGCAAGAGCGTTCTGTTTGACCTCCCTCTGAAATGTAAAGCTCTTTATGAGGCTAAATGATGGTTTCAGGTTGTTTAAGTTTCTCCAAAGTGCCTTCTGGATCTGAATAATTATAAGCGATTTTATTTTTGTCCCTAAAGGTGACGGTTTCGTGCAATGTTTTGTCATGCTGGGCCCAGCTCGTTAGCGTCTTTAGTGATCAGATCTCGAAGAATGGATTGCAGCTGAAACTAAAGCTACATCGACTATGGAGAATTGCGATGTGTCTCAGTCTTGATTGCTCTTAAAGCAATGATTTTAAAACTTCAGCTTGTTTTCTAAGGATAATGTGAGGCTTTGGACCTGTTCTGCCTGTTGGACTGGACCTCGTAGTTCCTCCCTTGATTATAACTTAATAACACTATTAACAGTCTTTAACGTTGTTGAGCTCTTCGTTGCTCATATTGATTTAGGAGAACTATTAACAGTCTTTAACGTTGTTGAGCTCTTCGTTGCTCATATTGATTTAGGAGAACTTAATGAAAATGCTCCTCTAAATATCTTTTCCACAGTAGCTGGCAACGGACGCCGCTATTTAGGTTGTGCAAAAGGAGGGAATAGGGAGACCGGAGACTGGAAGCAACAAACCCCTGTGGTTGGCCTGTTACGTCAACCTTTGACATAAGATACATTTTGGCGAACAACGCTGTCCGTGCAACGAGGTCAAGATTTTGCAACGATGAGGCTTAATCCGTGACGACAATTATTCACTACCCATAGCGTCTGATACGAGTTTAATATCTTTTTAACATTGGACTATCAAAAAAGATGATCAGACTTATATATAACGCCGAGTACTGAATACTGAACTGAATTGAAAAGTTGTTGGTTTTTGGTTTTTCAAGTTGAATGTTAGTTTCAGTCAACTTACATGCATGTTGGGTATAGAAGTAGAATGCTGCGCGCTTAATTTTCAAGAACGAGTGATCATGTTAAATGTTGGTAGTTAGTTGAATTATCAACTTTGAATGTTGAAACGTGAAGTTGAAAGTTGGGGGTTATAACTTAATGTTAGCTACTCAAGTTGAGTTTCGGCGGGGATTGAACACCATACTCATCTATGCTCATAGAGGCTCTTTACTCTGCTAAGACAATTCAGTTCTATTTCTTGGCATTTAAATTAATTAAGAATAAATGACACTGCCCATAACAACATTGGCTGCTTTAAAGAAGTAAAAACAAAAAACAATAATAGCACAAAATGGTATTACTGAATAGCTTCAATCTCATAGAAGGATAAAGTGGCCAAGCTTGCAAACAGAAGGATCTATATTATTAAAGAGACAGCTAGTAGAGAGCGTCATGCTGAGAAAAATACTGATCTGTGCTCAGTAAGAGAAAACAAGGATATTTTACAGGGAATACAAACTCTTTACAGCTATCTACAAGCTTAGCTGTGCCTATCTATCCGTGTTTAATCGTTTTGGAAGGGATTTCCACTATCGCGAATAAGGTTTCTCCGTTTGATCAGTTCAAAACAAAATCACTTCAGACGCGTCACTTCAGACGACCAATATTGTTTCCATGAATTTAACGAATATCTTAACAGTTTGAATCCGCAGAAACAGTTGGTAAAGAAAGTTGAAGATGGGGCCGGGGCAAATATCTTTCCTAGACACGATATTATTCATGTGAAGGACGAGGGTGGCAGCAAACGGCATATAATAGAAAACAATGCAATACCCACATGAATTTGTCAGATTTGAATTTTCTGTCGAGCTACTAAATTACTAAAAACTCCAGTTAACCTGCCGTTATTTGTTAAACGGCCCCGCTGCAGTTAAATTGGTCCCTAAGGAGAGTCATAAAATATAGGAACGCCAGAACAAAAAAGGGGCTCTACTCGCTACTGTTATACAAGGTGGTCTTCGAGATTCCTAAGAATACCTACAGGGAAGTTCTAACAACCGAAAACACTCTCTTATAGCAAATTCGTAACATGGAACTACGCTACCAACAAAAAATTCCTTCTGGTCCATCATAGCGACAAAACCAGTGGTGCTATGGTTAACCGCTGTTGGTGCTTTAACACCTCATTTTGTTGTTAAAACTTCTGCTATTGATGATGCGAAAGCTCCAAATATAATAATTTGTACACGTTAGTTGCTAATCACCTTTTTTGTCATGAGTGGAGTTACTTTGAAAATATCATGAAAGAGATCGTAGCTTTCTTTCTCAGCAAAGGTATAGTAAAAGGCGGAGAGCTGATTATTTATTTATTTTTTGCTGTGACTTATTTTTGTTGGTCTGTTGATGTTTTTGTCGTGATTGTTGTTGTTGCTGTTTGTTTGTTTTTTATGCTTTCGTTGTTTTATGTTGCCGCCCGGTTTCAAGCAGGCACTTCATAATAAACCTCCAACTCATCTGGGCGGAAATTATTCCCGTATCGTGATCCAACCCAGAGATAATTGTCACAATAGGGACTGCGGTACGAGCGACAACTAAAGTAAGAATTGGTATTTCCTCCCGCATCGTCCGCAATATGCATATCATGGCCCCCACCAAAGGTTGGACCATAATTATAATAGCTGTAAGTGGCGTAGCCATAGTAGCCGTTGGTTATGTCCTGTTTGAAGTATCCGTACCCGTTGTAGTTTTTCAGTGAGTACAAGAAGGTATTTGTCGAATATTGATAACCAGCAGACCCTGAAGAGACAAAAAACAGAACACAAACAATTAGAGATTCAGTGTAACTCAGTCGAGTTCAATAGACCATTTTACAATTATGGATGGAAACGAGGCTGGAGTGGACCTTGCTTTTATACAACCATTTCTGCTTTCTTAATATGTAAATCGTGTTGTTTTTTTTAAATTCTAACTAGGTACTTTTTAAGTATCATTTCCATAAGAAAACAAAGGAGGTTTGTATCAAAACATGGTTATGCTCTAAGGTACAAAAGGCGCTTCATTGTACCTAAATGCAAGACCGATCGTTTTAGGAATAGTTTTATTATTAGATCCTGTACGTAGATTTTTAAACTTTTTATCACATTTTTCACACTTTTTTTACTGTAATTAGTTTTATATACAAATTTTATCAATTGCATCGTTTGTAAATACGCAATTCAACCTTTGGGCTGTAAAGTATTGGTAACAAGAATCGCCGAAAGGCGATTTTTAGCTGGGCTGCAAAGGGGCTATTTTTTCTGAAGGGAGGGGGCGGCTATGCACACTCAGGCTACCATAAAACCTTGTCGGCAACCATTGCATGCGACAGAACCTCATGTGAGTCTGACATAAACTCATTCAGAACATTGTACCCTTTGAAAGACTTTCGTAACCAAAAAAAAGAGTACCATTTTTAAGTGGGGGCTGTATAATAACTTTTAAATTCCACCGTTATGAATAAAAATAAACAAGTTAGCCATTAATTCTAAGCAGGAAACAATTTGCATTATTTCCACGTACCCCTCCCCCAATCCCTCTGTGCCCCAAAATATAGCGTGACAGTATAACGTGACTAATTTGACGTAACTGGAAATTCCAAAAATTGTTGTCGTTCTACGAGCATAAAGTGCGACAGACTGAGCTGATTTACACTAGACAGAAATATTGTATTGTATGAAAACCAGAAGTATACTAAAACAGACAGTTAACTGCCCATTGATCCCGCCTGAACCAGGGGCCTCACTGACTGCACGGAGACTTTACTGCGCTTTTCACAAACATGCGAACTCTCAACTTCAAAAGCCACCTTCACAATTGTGTTTATCGCTGCCGTCAATCATAATTACGATCACAAGCAACGAACCTTGAAACAGAGAAACACACAAAACGGTCAAAACGGATCGAAATCCACAAATCGCAAGCCATGACCTTTTGAACCCGTGAAGTAAAGTTTTGTTTCCTAAGAAGTCCGTTAAGATGATTGACAGCAGCGAAAAACGCAATCGTCGGTTAGCTTCTGAACTTCAGAATTCGCATGTTTGTGAAAAGTGCGATCCTAATTTGCGGTCCACAGTCTACGCGAAAACGCACTATTTTTTCCACAAGATGAAAAATATTCAGTTTTAAGATTTTCCTCATGGTATTTTTCTCTAACTTAAAGGAATAAAATCCTTTGCATTTTGAGACCTAAAAAAGTTTAAAGATTTCTTGCTCGCATGTTGCGTTCACCAGCACGCACTTCAAACAATGTAAATAGATGAAACGATCGATAACATATTTTTTACCCGATACCGATGCGAGCTAAAATTCGCTCCAGTTCTGTTTGTCTCACCCAAGACGAACTTTTCTTCATGTAAGATAACTATGCCGCTTTATAACTCGTCCGAAGTTTTTGTGCCAGCTAAACAATATGGAAACACTATTCACAGTGACTCCTTGGCTATTAAAAAGACTGACCTATTATGCCTTTGTTTACTTCTGATCACATCTTCAAGCGAAGTCTCTCTTTTCAAGTGATTCATCTCAATGCACAACAATTGACCCTTATATTAGTTAAAACCCTATGGTTTATTTATATTAATGCTGTTTTTATCCCTCACATTGACTGTGTTCGTTCGTATTCAAAACACCTTTACGAAAATAAAGGTCGTATAAGTCATGTGTGTTATGTTTCGAGATAAATGGATTATACGCTTTTTTAGGTTTCCATTTTGCGGTGACTTCAGTTTACATCTCCATAAAATGGTAAAAGAAATATCAAGAAACATCACGAGAGCTGAAAACTGTCAAAGGCATGTTTCTGAAACTCGCTAATGCTGACATCAATATAGCGTGCTTGCTGAATGGGCGAAAACACAGAATTGTGATCACAAGATCATGCACAAATTTAATGATAAAAGCTTAGCAAGATACAAATACAAACAAAAGCAAACACCCTGAAACCTCGACGTGGGCTACACTTGTATGCTCTACTCATGCACCAAACCTTGTCAGTAATAGCTCCTATTTTCCTCAAGTCGCTCTCTGTGAAGCTCCCGGATGGGATGTCCCGGTGAAGCTTTTTAAAAACTCGTGTGCGAAATTCTCAGAGTCCCTATTTTTGTCCGTGTCTTCTTTATCCTCAGTATCCGAAATTTAGACCTCCAAAGTGACGTGTGTTGCATTAAATAGAAGGAAATATTTAAAGGAAAAGCCAGTCTTCTAACATGGCAAAGTTGTCACGTCCCTCGCTCATGGACGTGCGTAGTACCATTCATCGGCAACTGAGTTGTTCGCTTCACTGACTACGAAGGCTTACAATCAAGTCTTCAGCCATAGTGTCGTCAACTGGTGAAATACCTTGCTCACAAATTGTGCTTCTTAATTGCTTATGTACTACATCGATCGATAATTCTCTCTTTGAGTTCACGAAGCGGCCACGGCGTTCCAAACATGACGCTCACAGTCATCTTTTAGTGTGAACCTACCGTGAACGGCGTGTCGGTTTGAATGCAACGCGAGCATTTCTCTGAGTTTCCCAGCGCCAACATCATCTAACTGACTTAAACTCGAACAATAATAAAATTATAGAGTGACTCCCATGATCGAATCGCTTCGAACAACGCCATTAGCCTTCTTTAGGTTCGCAACGCTTTGTGGGTTTTTCAGGGGGAGCGCAGACGAAGTACAAAAAGTATCTGTGCAAGGGTTCATGCAAGAGAAAATCCTATGAAACCATTTGTGAGAACATCGTTTCTACGTACCAGACCCTCGTGGTTTCCCTCCCCCGGATGACCGTTTTTTGACACCGACGACCGAAAACCCATTTTATGACTGGGCTTGCCGGGCAGCCCAGTAATTAAACTAGAAATACGTATCTCGCAATAAGCCTCGAGAAACTCGGTTTGGTAACGGCACTCAAGTTAAGCCCTGCCGGTCGGGGATAAGAACTGTATGGGTGACCAACCGCGAATATCGTCTTAAAGGTCCATACGTTGTTCTTTCTTTTCTTCTTCTTCTTTTTCGCGTATTATGTGGTGTTATTGTTAACAGCGTATTGAAAAGCAGATTTAGCATTATTTCGGCGCCCGGATTTAGAAAAAGACAAAAACAAAGAACAAATCTGGCCCGGCGCAGTTCGCCGGAAAATTATTATAGTTCGGGTCGTAATACAGAGCTGAAACTTTGCAGACTTTGATCTACATTGATGGGCTCCTGTCTACATATATCGGCGGGGATGGGTTTTCGACAGTGAATGATCATAATGCCTCTGATTCCAATCTCCTGTTCCTCTGTCTCTTGTTGTCGGCGTTGCCTTTGATGTGCTAAGCGATGTTCCTTCTGCTCCACGGTTTCTTCTTGACGTCTTCTCCTTCGTTGTTCACGCTGAATTGGAAGTCGGCGTTCTCGCTCCAGAAGAGTTTCGGTGGAAAATCTTCCTGGGCGAGGATTTGGAGTCACTTGTTGTGCTTGTGTGCATTTGCATGGGAAATTGTTCGTGATTCACCGATGGTAAACTTTGATCACAGAAGATGAATAAACACATCAAAATGCCCCTTGGTCATCGGCGGCGAAGTCTATGTTGCCTGGAAACGCAAAATCCTCCATGACGTCATTGGCGGATACCAAGGGTGTGTTCCTTTCGGTGAATCCAAAAACGGATTTTGGATCTAAGAACGGATTTCGCGTTCCTTTCGGCAAATCCAAATCCGGATTTTTGATCTGGTGAATCCTTTTTGAAAAAGGATTCATTGGATTTGAAATCCGAAGAATCCAAATCCAGATTAACGGATTAGTGATCTACGCTGCTCCATTCACAGTGGATCCGAAATTAGTCAGATGATCCAGCGGTATTTCCAGCTGAAGTATTCCCATAGAGGCCGTAGAGTCTCCTCGTTGCTGTCATTTGCCGCAAAACATCTGAAAACACTAGAAGATTGTTCCTTGTACATTAAAATATCCATATACTAACCATTTGTCTCTAAAGATTGCTTGAAATCAGAAATAAGTAAAGGTAACAAATGAACTGCTATCCAACTACAAACTCGCTTGTAGACGCGACAAGCACTCGATCGTGTTACATAAAAAAATCCGAGCCGTGGAACTGGATCAAACTGGCCGACATTCTTTAGATAATTTTCAATTTTAATGCGCTTCTTTCTTTGTCTGTTTTATATGTTCCATCGTCGCTATTCGAACTGCCGACCACTAAATTCGCACGGCATAATCGCATAATTTGTCAAAGAATAGAAAACAAGTCATTTTTTGAGAGGCTGTCGTGCATATTGCACGCGTTGGCGAAAGGTTACCAAGGTTACAAATCCAATTTCGGATTTCACGTTCCTTTCGACCGCGAAATCTGGCAAATCTAGGATCAAAAATCCGTTTTTGGATTCGCCGAAAGGAACACACCCCAAGCATATATTCAGAAAAAGAAAGATTTATTTATTTATTTATGAAGCCTCGAATTTCGCAGCTGGCTAAGACCACGCGCAGTTAGGAGACTGCGCGCGCTCTTCGCGCGCGACAAGATTATAAAGTCGCTACGCTCGGAACTACCTATCTATCTATCTATTTATCATGGTCAACCTCAATCTTGCACTCGCTCAAAGTCTAGGATACTAAGCCCACAGCTATAAATGGTGTATTTTTAGGAAACGGGGGTGGGTTAGTAAATACTGAGAGCAGGGAGGTAGTATACAATGAGTGAAATACCACATAAATCACGCTCAAATCCTCATGAATTGGAGCATCACAAGTTGCCACCAACTTCGTCCCCAGGGCTTTTCCATTAGAAATTTAAAAGAAACGGCGGTCCACCCCTCTCAGATTTCAAGAAAAAGACCTGGTAGAACCAGCTGCAGTACAGCAGTATTAAGCCCGACCTTCTCCACTAAGCCCCATTCCCCACCTCAAACGCGCTTGTTAAAAAATAAATAAATAAATAACTTATAAATAAAGCAGCCCGAGGACTCAGCACAGTTTTTTTGGTGGCATGTTCGAAGCGTTTTAAGCCGAACAAATATTTATTTTTCTAGATCTGGATACGTCTAATCCCCGATCGTACAAGAAAACGCACGGCCAAGCCGTTGTACAAGGAGGAGCCAGTGGCTAAAACAGTTGTCATCACCGATAATGTATGGAAAATGTGCCAGATTGTGCCAATCAAAACTACTGCTTGTCTGCAGTTCATGCTTCAGCAATGTTGTGACTTTGGATTATATTGTCAGATTGCGAGTATTTGATTAAACTCTTACCACAAAATCCTCTCCAATTAGCAGTATTGCGAGCAGTGATTAATGACAATCTAGTTAAGACTAGACTTGTTTTGAACTATTTGCGAAAATTGTAAAGGCCCAGTCTCTCCTTCCTTTCACATTTGGGATTAATGACCCCCGGTTTTAATTCAGTTCAAATAGTCGATACCTTCTTCGTATCTTAGCTATTTCAAAGACTTACACTGCCATGAATTGTCGTTGTAGCCTCCAAAAATATAGATCCCGACCCTAACAATTGTTACAGTGGGTCCTTTGTTATCGCAGTAGCTGTGAAAGGTCTGTGAACTCCAGCCATGATTAGAGGCCCTATAACACAGTTTCCAATAACTTCTTTCTGAACTTTGCAAGTGCGGAAGAAGCCAGGTATTTAACTGCGATATCTTGCTGGCATCATTCGCTAAAATAACGGAGTCATCGAGACCACCTAGTAAAAAGAAAGTAAATCAGAAATTCATCCTGTTAAAAGATGCTGTATTTCGAAAACTGACAACGACTCCAGTATTTGCTATACCTAAAAAAAACAAAACAAACCAAAACAAACCAAACCAAAAACTATTGACTTACTAAAAATATAGGCGAGGTTAGCCTAAAATACACTCAAAATTAAAGTACCCACGAAAGTCAGAAGTAACCAAAAAAATAAGCACGAAAATCTCGCTTGCGGTGCATTTGAAATTTCATTAAGAGTATATTCTTGGACAAGAGCATAATCAAGATAATCGACAGGCAGGTGAGGGGTCGCTCTTTGGCGACATAAATGTTGGTGGATACCTTTTCCCACAAAGTACAAGTTAACAATTGGCAGAGTGGTAAAACGAAGAGAATTAAAATGAAGTAAAACATATAATTCGGCTTACGATGAGGAGTACATGTTTTCCCGTCACCAATGTAATGTGCATTCACGTCACACTTGCAAGTAAATGACCCTTCTGTGTTAGTGCAGATTGCATGGGAGTGACAGTCATGGGTGTTGAGCGAGCATTCATCAACATCTGGAAGACAAGAAGACTTTTATTTATTTCAAACTGGATCTTCTTTTTTGTCAACGAATGTCATATTCATAGAAGTGACTGACTTTTCAAGTCCTAACAAGAACACTAGTAGACCATTGAGAACAGATGCATTTCAATTCTGTGCCTGTAAACAGTGGCAAATTCAGATCTGCAAGTAAGTAGAGGGCTCGGCTGACGCTAGGGGCTTCAGTTCAGCCTAAAAATAAGGAGGGGGACGGGCCGCTGCTGAAAATGTATGAAATGTATGTTTTGAACATACGAAAAGTCAAGTTAAAGTCTTTTTTCTCCCTTTTATATTTCCTTATGTTTATCACCGCAGTTTGCTTTTTGTTTCTTCTTAAACGACATCAGTAGAAGAAGAGGAAGAACAAGAACGAGAACAACAACAAGAACAACGAGGGTGGAAACATAACCGTTTACCGGGTACTTTTTATAATGGACCTCCACACAACAGGTATTAGTTATGAAAAAATTTAACATAAAAATGAAAAATTCTACAACTTCCATAAATGTCTGAAAGGATCTGAAAACCTTAAAATGTGCTAATGAGGTGTTGTCTTAATTGGTAAACTTATCCTGTAGTGTTTTTCTGAACATTGCGTCGGAAACTTACGTCTCTATACATGAGTGACCTAACTTATTCTATAAACGACAAACAGTTGCGAACTTCCTACGCTAAGTCCTGATTTTCTTTAACAGAGAGGTGGCAGAACGTTGTTATTGGCGGCGGATCTAATACTATGAGCATGTGAAGAACGGACATGTTTCAAAAAGGACGTGAAATAATTAAACGAAGATCTTGACCCACTTTGTGTATGAGAAGTTTCCTTATACGTATGATGTCAACCTAATTTATCGAAAAGCTTTAGAGAACTGTCGTTTACAGTATTCAGTACTTATTCAAAGGCTCGTACCTCGACAGGTTCGTCCATCCCCCGTGAAGCCGCTGTTACATGTGCACGTGTAGGAGCCATCTGTATTGTAACATGTCGCACTGCTGTCACACTGGTGACCTGAAGAGCATTCGTCGACATCTGAAGCAAGAAAAATTTCTCCTTAGAAAGTACCGTCGGATTTTGAAGCTTCTGGAATGGTGGCCCCATCAGTATACAAAAAAAAAAAAGCCTCACATAATGAATCCCCGAAAGCTTTAGCCTGCGGAACAAGCGACCCCACTCGGGTTTGTCGAGAACGTTGAAACCAGAGCGATAAGCTATTAAGTCTACAAGAGCTTAGATTTTGAAATTGCAGGGAAATACAACAACCGTACGTACATGTTCTTTTTCTATGAACTTTAGTTCTCTTTTTGGGCTGCATTTAAAGTTATAGTATGGTCTGTATACCTATGAACTATAAAATAAGGATAGTTAATCAACTTTATTGCTGTTATTCATAGAGATTAGGAAATAATGTGCAAATTTTATTATCTCTGAAATTGGAAAAAAAAAGTTGCTGAGAAGACTTCCTTCCTAATTTATTCCGCCTATATTTAAACGCTTATTTCACTACTATTATACGCTGCTCAGTATTTAAAAACCCTCTAAAGAGTTCTTTGGAAAATACATTTTCACGCAATTTACGGTGAAAGCATGCTTATTCTACTTTATTCCACAACCCCGGTCAAAACTCTTGGGACACTAACGCAATAGCTCGTCAAATTGAGGCATCTTCCTCCACCCTTCCCCTCGGTGCAGTGTTGACGTTATGTATTCAAGTTTTAATTCAACACAATCAACACTGCTTGGGGAGAGGGGGACAGCAGAAATAGCCCCTTATAACAACATCCCCAAGCTTTTTTAAGAGGTAGAATATGAGTTAATTTAGCAAAGTGCGTCTTTGTGCCAAATTTCCTCCAGTGTCCCAAGACGTTTTGACCAGGGTTGTAGCTAGCCTTAAACTCACAAGAGATGTCTGTTTACCATTGGATGAGTTTCCTTTGATAATTATACTTCATGAATTAAACGAAAAACTAAAACTTGGGGCTTTGAACATAATACCTCTGCAAAGCAAGCCATCACCGGCATATCCTACGGAGCACCGGCAGCTATAGGAGCCAATGATGTTTGTGCAGATGGCGTTCTGATGACAATGGTTATTGTTTCCTCCACATTCATCATAATCTAATTTTAAAAACGAATATAAAACAATCGTTCAGTCAATCAACCTGCAAAACAAATAATGAAACGATCGATTGTCAATCAACTTTTTTAACAAAAGAATAAAAATTAAAATCGTTGCTCATATGATTTAATCAGCACGAAAACTGTTGTGTATGAAGGGGTGATGCAGTGCTAAAAGCACCCACTTATGGATCCTTTTTGTGACGTCTAATTTTCTTTTTCACAAAAGCAGTGCCTATTTTTCTTTGTAGACTAATCCTTTAATTTATACTATTTCTGCAACAAACAGATTTGGGGGGTGTTTACATGAAGCCGGGGCGACTTTCGCCCCGGAGCGAGTTCACTCAGGTTCCCTCTCATGGCTCTATATTTGTTTACATGATACCACCACAAAATGACATGCCGGCGCGAGTCACCCCGGCGTGAGCTCACCCCGGTTCTTGTACCGGGGCGAGAATTTCGCTCCGGTACGAAATCTGGCAACGGTATCATGTAAGCGCGAAACGACCACCCGTTTCGGTGTGAAATCGCTCTGCCGGTAGACTGAAACGGGTAGCGCATGCGTTATGTTTGCGATTTTGAATCACACGTGTATTTTATTAACATGACGTGTACCTTCAACTAACGAGATACGAAAAAGCCCAGTCGTCATGTAAACGCGATACGAAATCAAAAAGTCATCCTGGTATGAAACTCGCGCCGGTGCGAGTTTTCTCATGTAAACATCCCCTTACAGTAAACTCAAACTTTTTGTCACCTAAGAAGCCAAAGAAATGGGCCACTTGCACGATGACGATTTTTCACTACTAGGACCAGAATTCATTTCGTTTTTTCTTTCATATTTAAATTTGCTAATCCCAGTGAGGTTTACATAACAAAAGCCGTAATTTGCATAAGAAAGCAATACCCTGAAGGGTTCTGGAAGTAGTAGTAAATGACATCATCGTGCAAATGGCCTATTGGTTATTGAGGAGTAAATTGGTGAAAGTAAATTAGGATCTTCTCTGAAAATACAAATGAAATAAATAAAAATAACTCTTGACGCCTGGAAACGTTAAAATAGACCATTTTCGATTTCTAAAAACCCACACTTTCAAAATGAGGTCAAGAGCAAACCCTTTCATGAGGAAGTAGTTTTATAATCTCTGTTTGAAACAGGCTTGGGGCAAATCGGAAATTGCTTTTGAATAGGAACTAATGAATAATAACAATAGTAATATTAATAACAATAACAATAATAATGATACAAACTTATAGATGTATCGCTACCATCCGACCGAAACACCGCCACGAAAGTCATTGAAAAGCTTTCAAAATACAAAGATCTTGAGATTGAAACCACGAGAATGTGGGGAATGAGGACAGAGACTGTGCCCGTTATTGTTGGTGCACTGGGACTTATTAAAGAGGGAATGGGCCAGAATTTAGGTGAGATTCCTGGAGCCAGTAACATTAATGAGCTGCAAAAGATCATCCTGCTAGGAACGGCGCACATACTGAGAAGGTTTATCAGTGTCCATCAAATAAAAAACTCCCCTGGTACCTCAGGACCATGGATTGGCGCCGGTTCTAGGAGAGTGTATATAATAATATCGGCTCCTGATAACATTGAAAACGTTTATAGTAATAATAATAACAAGAGACTATAAAGGGGACAGAGAGGGCATCCCCCATATACACCCTATTCCATAGGTAATTCGTGTCGAGTTATTTTTAACACCACAGATCTCAAGGGGGATTAGACAACAGCCAATCACATAGCGCGAATGTGTTCCGCGTGGATGACCCACGCTGAGAGCCACGCGTCCTTCACGAAATGACGCAGAACAAAATGGGGGAAGACGCGGAGAGCGATTTTGCTATTCCTTTTGTCGACGAAAACGACTACATCGAGATTTCTGCGAAAGCTGTGTCAGCGAAACCGAAATTAAAAAAGAATCGCCCTTCCTCTCTTGTATAGAGCTAACAGTAGAGCAGCGAAATCCTTAACACTCTGAATATTCTCTCAGGATCATTTATAATTTACAGTTTGAAGAGAGCAATTTCTGGTTTGATGTTTATTTTTTTCAGTCTTTATAGCGATTATTCCTACCCACTTACTTTGTCAATTGTAGGCGAACCCTCCTAAAGCTGAATTTCAAGGGACCATATTCAAGCTCAGAAAGAGTAATAAAATTTCGTCGTTGCTTATTTATGACCTCCATAAAAAGCGAAATTAGGCATTTTCACGTCGTAGTCGTGCAAAAACGGGAAGGAAATGAACAAAAAATTGTGTTGCACGTGCGAAGTTGTTGTTTTGCTAATTAAACCTATTGTTTTTTTGACGTTCTAGTTGTCGTCCGCGTCGTTGGATCTTAAACTCCCTAAATTGTACAAACGACCGGTTTCAATAGACCGGCGAAATTTCTCATTTTATTAAAGCACTGAGGTTACGACAACTTCGAGTTAAACTGATTTCACGGGTTGTCAAAGAGTCCAGCGATTCCTTTTTCCCAGGTCAGCGCCGACTCATTTCGCTTCAATATTCAGGAATGCTCTCGATCTTTTTACGTTTTCATTGCCTCTCGCCCGACATGTTTTGCACGGCGTTTTGTCATGCGAAACCTCCACGAAACATCCACGCCTCGCGCGAGGTAACTTTATCCCGATTCTAAAAATAACTCGAGACGAATTACCTATGGAATAGCGTGTATATGGGGGATGCCCTCTCTGTCCCCTTTATAGTCTCTTGTAATAATAATAATAATAATAATAATAATAATAATAATAATAATAATAATAATAATAATAATAATAATAATAATACCTACGAGGTTGTATGACTGCCAGAAAAAGCACACGGATGTGATGGGTGAGGTAACCTGCAGGCTATGTAATAAGGCCCCCGAAAGTGTCGCTCATGTCCTGGCTTGTTGTACTGCCCTTGCACAGAACAAGTACATTACTCGACATAATAATGCAGCCCTGAAGATACTTTTCTTCGAAATTTTGCAAGACCTAGGTCTTGTCAGAGACTCGGTGCCACCTTAGTACCCGCCACTGAAACCGAAGCCAGTGTACGAGGCGAACGATGCGCAAGTGTTCTGGGATGTCCCCCTATTTGCGGAGCACCAAGAAGTTGAAGCCAACAGAGTTCATGCTCGCATTATCAAACACGAGTTAAAGCAAGTTATAACGCTTGAGATGAGCTGCTTATGGGTTACAAGCCGGGAGAAAAAGGAGGAGGAGAAAACCACGCAATACGAACCGCTCCGTTGGGACTGGAGTTAAAGCAGAATTACCAAGGATATGAAGTGAAACAATATAATATCATAATGGACGTACTTGGGGGGTGGTGCGCAGACTTAGAAGTCCAGCTGAAGCAGTTGGTCGAAAGTAAAGAGTAAGGGAGTTTTTTTATATAACATGCAGAATTCTGTACTCTCGGGAACACTAAACAACTTTAGAAACTTTAAACTTAAAGTTGCAACATGAACAATGATTATCGCTTTCGAAATTATTAACTCTCTTCCTTCAACGTCTTTTGGACTTTTGTGGATATGAAGTAGTCGTCAATAAATTTTTTTACAGCCGAATAAGTAATTTACTTAAGAGAACTTTAAAGATCAGACTTTATAATTATCATTTTAGATCCTAGATATCTTGAATAGTTTTATTTTCTTTTGGAGCATTATTTAAAGTGTTTTTTTTTATTATTGTACATGTATATTTTTAAATTTTTACACTAAGTTGTCACTACAGTAAACGGGTTACGCTCACGCGTCCCGTCACACTATTTTAACTGTATATAGCGTATACAAAAGTTGGTATATAAAAGAGGTAAGTCACCCACAAACCTTCTGAACAGGTATAGTTATGGCAAGTACCACAGCTTACATCATTCCACATAAAACTATGACTGACTCCCAAAGTGTGAACGCAATCTTCATTGTTGAAGTTGTTTGGTTGGTTCTTCGCCCAGTATGAAAAGTTACTGGTTTGATTATCTGCCCAGTCGAAAGTACCCTCAATTACCCTATCGTTTAGCCCAATCCAGCCCCTGGCACCATTCAGCCGATGCTGAATATAGACGTTTTCTTCTTGATTCCGCACAGTGATGAGGTTGCCGCTATGTGCTTGGCAGGTTTTCTCAGCTTCGGTCCAATTTTTGCACGAATGGCTTGTCGAGTAGCAAATACCATTAAAATATGACCAGCCCGGCTTACAAACATCTGCAGTATACAAAACATTTTGTGTGAAGTAAATTGTGCGTAACAAAGACTGGGCCAAACGTCGCACTTTTCATGAGACAAACCAAACTTAGTGATTTAAGTTCATGAAACCTTCTTAGCGACGTTTGGCTCAGTTAAGTTCGCTGAATGAGTTTGGTTCGTCCAACACGTTACGACGGACAGAGCGTCCGAAGATCGTCTCCAGGACAAACGTCGATCTTCACATGTGAGGAACTAAACTAATAAATTTAAAAAAAATTGTTCGTTAATCTATATAAAATCGTTCGGGAGAAAATAATTTTATTACTGATCTGATTCAGTTGATTGGTTCCACGCGCCCTATAAAGATCGACGTGTTATCCAGCAGCCGATCTTAATTAACTTAAGTTAGGTCGACTCAAATTAGAGTTTGGTTCGTTCCATGAAAACTTCTACGTTTGGCTTAGGCCTTAGCTGACCGAGAAGTTTTTGGAAATAGAAACCTTTCCCTGTAATACGTAGGAACTAAGAAAATACATTTACTGGTGATTACTTAAAGGAGATATGAAACAAGGAGCCTCTAAGTTTACTTGACATCTACCAAAGCCTGCTGGGCATGAGAAGGTCTTCGCAAAGAAAATTTGTTTTTATCATTTACTAACACACCTGCCAGTACTGTATAGGACACAGTCACAGGATCATGCTGGTCAGCGAACAACTCCTTAAGACAAATGCGGAATTCGCTGGTCTTGATGTGCTGTAAAATAAGCATATCATCTAGCATCATATATTTCGCTTACAAGAACAAACAGTAATAGCTCAACTTTTAGAGACGTTCGCTTAAACGCCTGTAACTGAGTCATTTTGAATTCCTATCTAAACAAAAAAAAAAACTGACCTCGAATAACAGATGGACAAATAGATAGTACTTTTCGCTGCGCGACTATGACTGATAAACAGGCTGCATGAACAGAGAAAGGTTAAATTTAGCTCATTTGCACATTCACATTGCACATTCAGCTTGATCTTACTTATTTTGAAGAAAGAGCGTTGTATATTAGTTAAATAACTTGAGAATACCTCAATCCATGGGATCACGGACATGTATATTGGCTTCAAATTGTTGCCCTCTGAGGTGTGACCGGCTGCTATTAATACTATGGGTTCTTTGTCGTAATTCTTTGCAAATGGAACGTCCTAAGGACATAAAAATAAGGCTGTTGATATAGCATTTGAATCACCGTCCATTTTTGATCAATGAATGGTGATACTATAGGTGGCTGGAATTTATCTGCGCTGACTCGAAGGAACAGGTAATTTTTGAGTAAGAAAAACATTTCTTTGTTCAAGATTTTTTTTTCCGACGGCTTTGATGAACTTTCAAAACATACGTTCATTTCTTGGCCTCATCTCATTTCTTTTGAAAGATCATATGACATGATTTGGCAACTAGATGTGATATCAGTCATGGTCAACTTCCTTCATTTTTACTCCCATTTATTAAGTTGGGATAAAGTCTGGAGTTTTACAGCCGTAAAGATGATTTAAAATTCCTAAATGTACTTATTTGATAGCCGCTTTTCTCTGCTGTCCCATTAGACTTTCAAAAAAGTCCTTCGTCGGATTTAATTTGGCGCGGGATGAAGGTCGACCTCTCGCGACTTCGTCCAGAGGTCGACTTGTAGCAAGTCTACTGTTCCATCTAAACAGATAAAGAGCTTTCTTCTACTTAGAAGTAAAGTTGCGTCTTACCTTGCAAAATGCACCATTGTAGCTCGTAGAAACGGAATTGTTGTTTGGAAAATCCACGTGTTTGCTCTCAGCGAAAAGGGGCCTGTGGATTGTTTCAAAGGCCATCCAACTCTAAAAAGAGTGATAGCAATAAAAAATGGATTGCTATCTCATACCTAAATCCCGTGTAAAAATAATTGAGCTATGTGCCCTAAGACGATTTGTAACTTGTATCCACAATGCTAGCGAGAACTCATCTCACGTATTTTATCATTGACCCGTTTTTTTTTTTTGCTCCCTGCGACCTGGGTGGGTTGGCTTTGGAGGCTCCCCTCTATAACTTTAAAACCTCTCGTGATATAGTCTCCCTCGCAGCCGTTATTAGGGTCGCCACGCAACGCTCCTCCCCACTAGTGGGGAGGAGCGTTGCGTGACGACCCTAATAACGGCTGCGAAGGAGACTACTCGTGATACGGCCACCAAAATTACACAGAATAAAATATTTTCCAACGTCTAGGCACAATTTGATTGACACAATGACGTTTGACGTCATTAGAACGTCATATTGTTGAATTTGTTGGCTGAATAATACGCTGCATTAGATAGACTGTCATGTGTTTCTCAATGGCTATTAACCTACAACCTCCCCCCCTCTTAAAAAACGCCTGTCATAACTTCCTATATAATTCTCTGTGTATGCCAGTTTGAAGTCAGCCCGCGTTTTAGACTGAACACGGCTCTCTTAGTGAGCATTCTTAGAGTTTTTTTTGTGGTTGCCTTAAGCAAAGCTTTCCGGAAGACATCATTAAGCCTTACGAAGGAACAAGTCTCACGATTGGCAAAGTCTGCTACGTCTTCTCGTATTTCGTCTCATTTAGCTACTCGGATGAAGACTGATCCCGGGTTTGAGAAGGAAAGATTGGATATTGCGAACTTTGTTGTTGGCAGCAAAACGTCTTTGGCCTCACAAAAGAGGTTCTAGGGGTGCAATTTATTCGGCGAGATGGAAATTGATGCTGATCTCTGACCAGGCCAAAGACGTCTTCGTCAAAAATTGTTTGGAAGGCGGGGGCTCCATGTCTCCTTTTCAACCGCTGGTTTACATCCAGGATCTTGAATAAATCGACTGTGTGAGTCAAGAAGTCTCCATCGACGATTTATGTGCAGAATGCGACAGTTTTTCCGAGTAATTTGACTTTGATTCGCCCGTGTTAAATGTGGAAAAATTATGAGTGGTTTTTGGAAGTTTTGTGATTGCCGCTAAAGTAATATTATGTGATTTACCGAAAGCGTTGACAAACAAAACTCAGGTATGTGGTTGAGCTCGTGTTACCAGATTACGGTACCACGCATAACAAAAAACGCTTCGCAAGTATTTAGTTTAGGTGATTTTGTCTTGGAAAGCCTATTCTGTGCTCAAATATTGTGGCTTCTTAATCTGTTTTCGGCAGACACTTGCCTAAGGGGCCTCATGGTTTGGCTGACTAAAAAGTTATAATTTCTGGACGTTTCAGATGTTGTTTATTTTATCCCAAAATCCTGTTTCTTCTGAGAGAGAAATTCACCGTCTGTTGCCAGCAATAAAGTTGTCAGCTAGTATTTCGTAACTACTTTCCATTCGACTTAGATATCAAATTGTTAAAATGCACTTGAAATTTCTTTAGCCACGATTTAGCAAACTCCAGACAGATATATTTGTAAAGGAGAAAACATATACCACAAAGATATCTTCATGTAGACCATCATAATTCTGTAGTTCTCGAAGACAAATGTAAAAGGAGGAACTGGTTGCGTTTTCCACCCACAAACTTGCGGCATCATGCTTAAAGTCTGCACTTATATGTTCTGCTGTAACCAGGACCGCTGGTGTAGACGCAAATTTTCCCTGTTAAAAAAAACCATTCATAACAGGAAGAAAGTTGAATTGGTAATCATTAAGTATACACAGCAAAGCTGATTGGGAGAATAGAATGTAAAATTTGGAATAAATAACATTTCACATGATCGGCACGCTCATAGGACATTGGATCGTGGTCAGGTGTCTGAACGCGACTGTCAAATTTAGCCCTAGACCGTACAAGTTTCTTTCTCCTATATTTTTTTGTATGAACTAATGCTTTTTTTAAGAATATCTCCCCCCTCTGACAAATAGTGTAAAAATTGAAAAAGGTTTAAAAATGGCCTATGTGTCAGAAAGAATTTCGCGGACAGAACTGGGCTGCCTCTTTGCAGCTCATGTCTGCAAGTCCAAGTACAATATCTTTGATTGGATAACAACTGGAGTGTTTAGTACTTATGACATCAGCATAGCAAATGTTCACCTTATTGAAAACTTAATTAAAGGTCATTATTTTTTATGGTTTATGTAACGAAACAAGATGCAGCTGAGAGGTAACAATAAAGTGTTATTGCCTGAGGAAGGCTGACTTTTGAGCACTGTGATCCAGTCCACCATTCCGGAATGCGCATTTTACCCGCCACACCTCCATCAGGAGCACCTTGGTAGGCCATCCAGTCCACCGTGGCAAATTCTTTGATAAAGCGATCATTTCTTCCTGCTGCAGTCACGCACACCTAAAGATAAAATGTAATGGCTAATGTTTATTTTATATGGTAAGATAATATATAGATTTAGCCAAGGCCAAAAGCGAAGCTCTCGTGGTAACTTGCTTCCTGCACTAAAGTTTTCTAAGCCTGCGATCTCTTGAATTCTGTTACTGGTCAGCAAAGAACTTTAAGAAAACCCGTCATCTCAATAAGTTGCACACCTGAGCCCGCGATAAAGTCATGTGACACTGGTCTGCGGATACCCTACTTTGACAGCTGTCAATTGATTATAACATGGATGTCCAAAATCGAGTTAAACACAATTTGTATATGTTTTGGACTTACAGCTAGTAAGACATTTCACATCCGTTAACATGAGGACGCGGTCCTACGTACGTACGCACGATTTTGTTAGTAACCAAAATTTCTTGGATACATAGATAACCAAATTTTCTTACCCATAGTGTCCCTCTGCGCGCGCAAGACGCGAAATCTCCGCTAGTAACTCGTTGTGAAAAAATATGTTTAAATAGTATTTTACTGGCCAGAAATATGACAGGTAAAAAAGAGTTCTTGGAGATGTAAGACAAATGAACAAAGGTTCACTAATTACTACTTGAAGTAATACTTGAATTGAAAACTTCCTTTTAAAATATTCACCTCAAAATTCTCGAAGTTAACACTTTCCACCCAGGATACAGTAGCATCATGTACAAAATTTTTCTCGCTTATGTTCCAGTGATTGGTCGTTATTTGTACGTGCACTTCTTTGTCCGGATAGAATGAAAACGGTGGAAATTTCACTACTTCACAGGCCGTCTCTGCCCACTGTACATGTCTCCTCAGTGAAACTCGCCCAGTCTGAACAGGAAAACCTGTCGAGGAACAACAAGAAAAAGAAGATACAACATAGAAGAAAAACAAAGCTAATTAGAGCTGAAAGCGATAAACAACAAACAAACAAACAAAAAAAAAGATGCATCCTACAAATACCTGATGAGGATGAGAAAAAAAAGGTATAAAATCCTTTCTATATGCGAGGAAGTAATTTAAAAGCTGATTGTACAATTACACAATCATATAGTGGCACTATATAATTGGCACTTTATTGCGTTCAAAACAGTACCAAAATAAGCAAAATAGTATTTAATCATGATCAATTTTGGACCTACAGATGCACGGAAAATGCCATGTGCATGAAACGGAATTCCAAGATGGCGCCCAAGATGGCCGCCAAATTGAGTGATGTTATAAGTAATCAGCCGTACCATATCTCATAACACTAGAGCTCTACATACGCTGGTTAAGGTGGTTTTAAAAAAACCTTATAATCCGCTCTCTTACCTGTACAGCTACCGGGATGATAGAGAGTGTGGTTACTCTTGCGCCTGCAAATGTCCAGCAGACAAAAGCACTTGTTCTTAAATGTTGTCGAGTTGGATGAACACACTGGCTCCTCGTACGACGGGCAGTTGTCATCACAAACACAGCGGGCATCAAATGCAGAGAAAGCTTTGCAGATGGCATGGTAATCGCAAGTAACGTTTGTGCACGGGTCTATATCTTTTAGGGCAAAAAAACAACAACAAAGTCAGCACTTGTGTGAATAGCAAATTGACCTGACGTCCTATATCCTTTGAGAGCGCAACTGCTTTTAAATTGTGCTTTGTTTTTCCCGTGGAGAAAATTTATGGCAAAAAAGGATAGGAAAGGGGAAGTTACTTTTTCTACAAAAACGCTTGAAAAAGAGGTACACAGCTGCATTTATTCACCCAGATAATAAGACGATCAATACGAAGTTGTTCTTAATACTTAAACGCCATTTTTTATAACTTCTTTCTTGGACATTTGATCATAGTTTTTTACAGTGACAATTGCCTGACTTTATTCTTATTCCAATTTATTTCTTCAATTTGACCTTTGACCCAACGTCCAAATGCCTTGATAGTAGGACGAACCAGTATGAGAGACAAATCTTTGAAATTAAAGAATAAGCAAATATAAGAGAAGAATCATCATCGTGAAAATGAGTACGGAAAATGACAATAAGATTGTTGATTCAAGCTATTGCTTGAATTTGTCGTCAAGTGTTAAGTGCCACTTCGAACTTCTTCTTTTATTAGTTATAACTGCTTTACTCTTTAGCGAAGGCATCTATTTTAACCAGCAAATATTTGAAACAGTTTCAACTTATTAGGTCTCTTCAAGGCTACTCACCTCAATCCAGACAGTCAAAGCGTTGCTATAGCGACCATCTGCCTTCATTGATAGTTCCCTGGTGCCATTTTCATGGCTGGCAGACGCCAGAATATTGGGCGGCTCGTAGAATGGATTCTCAAACTTATAATCCTAAAAATCAGGATTTACCAAACACAATAATTTTCCCTCTGACTGTTTAAAGAAATATTGTCGCTTTCATCCTTTTGAAAAAAGTGATATTGTCCCAGCTCATTAAGGAAGTGATTAGGCAAACTCTAGGTCTATAAAATATATCTAATAGTGGATGCACCTCCTTACCACGTAGCGGTCAACAAATCTAAATCACAACTCTTGCGAACAACGCATGGGGTTTTAACGAATTATTGATGATCAAGAAGGTCGTATCTCTTGTTGGACTTCAACTCTTATTTCAAAAATGCACAATACGCCGATGTCACAGTGTCCCTTGAAGAAACGACAAATACACAACACAAACATTGATTGTTAACCACGTTGGTTTAAAGGCTTGAGTTTGGAAGTTAATTCAATAAAAATTGAATGCATCATTAATAGACGTCACATTTTCCAACCTGACAAAAGGCATAATTGTTCTCTTTCTTTGGTGCACCGAGTCCAGAAAAATGAAGGCTTCCCTTCTCAGTAAAATTCCAAGCCTCAGGTAGCAAATCATAAGCAAGCCAGTTCTGAAAAGGTGGACGCAAGTAACAGTCACAGCATTGAATGTCTTTCCTTATGGTTTTTTAAGAAAATTTAAGATGAAGGTGGGAACCCTGAGAAAAATTTGTATCTGGAGTCTGAGAAAAAAGCAAAATACCATGACCTATATTTAACACTATTCTGACCGAGCGTTTTTGGGCTTCCTTGGAATTGGAGGGAAAAGGGACCTTCGAAGGCCCCTTTGAGAACATTATAACCACTCATGATACAGCCACTAAATTTACGTAAAATAGTGTAATCATCATTCCAACAAGTAGGTGTAATGTGATTGACACAGTAACGTAATTTGACGTCACTAAGATGTCCTCGAAACTAAGATGTCAATTGTTCCCGTAGCCATTAAGCAAAAATAATTAAATTACTTAAAAATCACGACGATGGTTGACAATTTGATAATCTTTAACAATGGCAGTGACAACATGATGACGTCACTTGTTGCTGAGACCATATGTCTTTTTGGATCTGCCATTTTGAATTATTTAAATTAATTCCATTTATTCCTGCTAGTTGGCCATTTTAAATTCAATTCATTTTTCCAAGCTAGTCACTAAAAAGCCTAGATCATATTAACAGCTACGTAAATAATGGTAAATTAAGTGTGATATAATAATTCATTAGAAGTAAATCTAGAGATATTCAGCAAGAGTCGCCAAGTTTGATGGTCCTAGCTTGAACGGTTTTAATTTTATTCAACATTAAAGTGTTAGGAGGCCTCAAAGCCAACGGCACCGGGCTGAAGTAAACCCTAAAGTGAACCCTAAAGTTTCATCTCAGAATGGATTAGGGAAATGACGAGGATAGTTTATATGCGCGACTTAAAGAAAACTTTCTTTCTTTTCAAAACACCTGCTGCACATGCGCAGCAGGGGCGATATTTTCTTAAGGCTGAAAAGCCGTTCTTTGACAGAACCCCGCTTCCTGATCAGCGCCCCCCTCCCCCCTTTTTCACTTCCAGTCCACCCCTCCACCCCTTTCGTCAGGCTGTCTTTGCAAAGCAAATTTAGAGTTTTACGGTTTTAAAACATTTATGGGTTAGGTATAACAATAATTCTTCTAATATAATTTTTACGTAATTTATAAGGGGAGGCCAAACTAACCACCAGGTTTTTAATTAGCTTCCATACAATCAGATTTAATTTTAAATTTAATTGATAACAAGTAAGGACGAAGAAAAACGTAATAGTCGAAGACTGGGCTAATTTTTTAAAACTCACCACTTTAAGTCCGGTATGGATACCGTCGAAACTCATAAACTCTCTCAAGCAAACAACGAAGCCGTCTGCTTTGACCGCTTCTAGCCAGATGTTCATGGAATCAAAAGGACGGTTAGAATGTTTATGTTGAACGGTTACAAACACTTGAGGCTTTATCTAAAAGAAGAGAAAAAATCACCCAATAAGTACATGTACATACTGAGCTTAAATATTATTATCGTCCTTTGCCCCGAAGAGGACCGGATTAACAGTGCTTAACGTTATGGACTGACGTTATGACAAACCTAGGAGGAGATTCTTGAACAGCAAACAAAACATAGGAAAAAAACGGACGATTTATATAGTGCTAAGCCCTTTTCTTGTTAAAGGGATATGCTGCGATGATATTGCTGCTTTAGGCCACTTCGCAATTCTGTGTTGAAGTAATCACTGTGTCCATTTATTCATGCATTAAATGTTCCTGCAGAGCCATGAAGAAAATATCAAACAACTTTCATCATGGAGCACTATAACCATTACATTTTTTGGTGATTTTTGCAGGCATAGTATTTAAACAATTTACAAAACAAGGCCTTTTTTTTTTTAATTTTACTGATGTGAAGTCGCGCGCGTTTTCGTTATTTTTTCCCCTTAAGGTCAAAGCTGAGTTATGAGTTTTTCGTGAGTATTGACTTTAAAACTAACATGGAAGACTAAATGAATTAATTGGATGACGTTGCGAAGTTACCTGTTTCTGAATGCTTAGCGATATCTTCTTGCACTGTGTTCGTGACGTGAATTCATTAAATTCCACGATCCCTGAGTGTATGCCTTGATGCGAACCTTGAAATGCAAGCCAGTTGATCACAGACGTTCCACCAGAGCCACTTCCTGCTTCGCGCACGCAGGCTTCAAAACCTGTTGTTGACACCGACTTCACCCAAAGAGACGCTGGGTCGTGGATTTTAACATATTTGTTTCCGTGACTGAGCGTCGCGAACACCTTTACATCTCCCGAACCCTGGAATTGAGTTTCGAAAGAAACGGCTTGGCAACCATGGTTGTTTTGGGAAGTGTCGGTAATATTTACCTTCCCGGCTTGAAAGACAGCCCCTTGAATGTAAAAAATAAAAATGAAAAAGAACTATGATAATGATATACACGATAACGATAACAATGACAATAACAATAACGATAACGATCATAATGATGATGATGATGATGATGATGATGATGATGATGATGATGATGATGACGATGACGATGACGATGATGATAGCCCTGCCAGATAGTGCGGAAGGGGGTATAGGGGCTACATATATCTTAGTATTTTACAATTACACCAGATGAAAGGCGAGGTAACAGCGGAATACATCTGAAGAGAAATTAAGACGGTTGTGTAGATCCAAATTGAATGGCGGAAATCTTATTAGTGCATCAATGTCTAGGCTGTAGGTTTAATACGCTACAGTGCAAGTATCGTGGATTGCATGTTGGAAGGGCTAGGACGATATTGGCGGTAAATGGCTATTTACACACAAAACGTAATGTTGCCAGACTGTATCTACTGAGAAAAGAAGGGGTGAGGGTTGATTGGTATTGAGGAGTGTTAAAAGGAGAGAAAATTGTTGCATGGCTACCTGAGAGATATCAGGAGAAGGTGTTTGTTGAAGAAGAGAATCTTCGGGACTGCCAGAAAAGAAGGGAAGAGGAGAAAGTCAGGAACTGGAAGCTCCACAGGGAGAATTTACTACGAAAACTTCAGATGTGGCTGGAGAGGAGTCCTGTGGATGTCTCAGGAATGGTTTTGTTCAAGATGGGAAAAGAAGGCAAAGCAATGCAAAGACCTGGTATGGAAGATTAAGTTTGCCCGACATTTTTTGAAGTACTCAGTTATCAGCCATCAATTCGTACTGCTCACATTTTGCGGAATGTGCTGTGCCTCTGAGCTGTTGGATGCAGCTGAGAAATGAGAGGACCAAGAAAAACACCATGGTGCTGGCGAGAATCGCCCAATAATAATGATAATAATAATAATAATAATAATAATAATAATAATAATAACTGCAATAAATTGATAAATGTTAATCGTTAATTTTTGGTTAAGTATGCACTTGTTGACTTAATCACCAGTTTCAATAAAACCCTCTACATTTCAGTTAGTAACGAAAGTTTGAAAACCTTAATAAATGAGCAAAAGAAATCAAATAAATTCTGAATGCAACAATATCTATTTCTTGACAATATATATATATTAATTATATTAATTTTTTCTGAATATTTGGTTACCTTTCCCCATTTTTCTATCCTTCTCATATCACCCTAAAATAATGCGATTCTCTTATTTGGAATTATTTTGCTATGTCATCCAGATCAATTTACCATTTTTGAATCTACAGGTCTAATCCATCTGGATCAATTACACCCTTTAAGTGGTTTACTTCCTAGAAAGCGAAGGTTGAGCTCGGGCCTCACGTCTGTTAGAACGTGCTTTAAGCCTGAGATCGTCGTCTACAAATTCTTTTTTGGGGGGCCCTGGAGAGTATTTTGTCAGCTTCATATTTTTGCTTATCCAAGGCGAGTAATCCTGCATAAGGTTTTTGTTGACGTACGTCGTCAGAGACCCGGAGGAAGCACATTTGGATGCGCAACAGGTAAAATTATTGCCTACAAGGTTTTCAAGAAGTACCGGAGAGAAGTCTCCCAGTTTCCAGTTTGCTTGGAGAGATTTCACCCATAAATATCCCGCACCACTAGTTGCTGCCCTTGTCCCTCCTAAGATGCGCATGAAAAATTGTCTTCGTAGATAAACAAATACAATTGGGGTGCTCGAGAAAACGATGAAACGTGCAGTCTGCACCAAATTTGTATTGGTCAGATTGCAGTCAATTGTCAACCCCCTTAGCAAAATTTGCCAACAACATTCTTGTTTGATGGAAATTATCAGAAATTTGTTATTTACCAGTACAATAATCGATGGTCATTAGTAACTTACCACTGGTAAAAAATAGCTGCAAATAAAGCACCTGAGCGGCAAGGAAAGAAAAGAGTGGCTTCGTTGTCATTGCCTTAATTCTTTACGGCTGTGTATTTGATATTACCTCTCCTCTGTTGTAAATGCGTATATGGACACTAGGCATCTCTAATTAAACCTTTTCGGTTTTGGAATGAGGAAGACTTACACCAGTTATTTAGCACCTATCTCTCCAACGGGGTTAAAGGGTCGTCGGACCATGTGAGCGTTTTAGCGTATATTCCGCTGGCGTTGTCGGCATAGTGGAAAATGATTGGCTGCGGTTCGACAACTACTTACTACAATGGTCCTTGGGTATAAACGTCAAGCAACTTTGTTTAACCTTATCCAGTGAGCTTAAACCTTTTATAATCAGTATCCGTTGGCTAAACACTTTCTGGAAATAAACAACTACTCATGCGACATTGAATTCAGATCGTAAACAGGTACACTAGGTATCGCAGATTGTCTTGCTAAAAATAAGGACATTTTCTGTTCTGAAAATACAGGTCATGTAATTCGAGGTCTTAGAGCACAGAATATACTAGTAATAATGGCCTCAATCAACACAACGATGCGTGGAAGCTCTGCAGTTGCCAAAATTAAGACACTTAAAAATTATCAGACTTGGAAAAAAAATAGGACGATATTCGAGTACATGATTCCGCATTCTCCCGCTTAAACGTGATTAAAGGAAAGCTGATGTTTGTTATCTTAAAAATTGAGCGACACGTACACCGCTTAATACAAACAGCTATGGACTCTGGCCCTGTTACGACACCGACTATACCGTACATCAGGGGCACCCCTGAAACTATTGCCCGTATATTACAACCTTACAATATACGTGTTGCACACAAACCGATAACCACCTTACGGGGACTGGTTACTAATGTCAGGGACAAAGACAAACCGGAGCACAGACAGTGAGCAGTATACAAGATGAAATGCTGCGACTAACCTAAGCACGCGACTGACCGAACACAAACGAGCGACGAGGAATGGGGACGTCAACAGTCATATTGCTGAGCAACATGTACAGACAAAACATCAAATTGACTGGGACTCTGCGACATGTAGACTACTATGAACGTCTCACTTTAATTTAGAAAGCTCAGTGGTTTACTAACTTAGAACAAACGCCACTGAATCGTAGCCAACAGTTACCAGCGCCGAACAAACGACTTATTGACGAGATCAAGCAAAATTAACTACGAGAGAACGACTGGAGAACTGACAATTTGACTAACAATAGACCACTGTTTAACTATGGCAACAGACGGATCGAAACGCACAAATTACTGATTACAAGTCTTCATAGCCAATAACATTACGGCTTAACTGACAGACCAATAACATCGCGACGTAATTGACCAATAAGATCAATAGCCAGAGTATAATACCATCAACTGACGTGATACAACTCACTTTGACTCTGAAGATGACTACCGCACAGGTTGTCGAAACGTCAGTCACTGTCAACAACAGTCCTATTCAGGACTACGTTCACCCGGACGATCAAACTCAACCTACACGGAAAGCCTCATTCGTTTGGGAACTTTCCATTCCTGCACTTATCAGCTCATCTTGAGCCAGCTGCAGGGCAGAGAGGACAGTCGTTTCAAATTTGTTTACACTTGCGTCCGCCATTTTTAATTTTGAGAAAGCCTACTAATGACACCGCTGACCCTTGACCTCGCGGGAAAGAAGTGGCCTGATCTTGCCTCAAAAATCCCCAGCGTGAACAGCTATGCTATTGCTTTCAAGTCAATTTTCCTTAACAAAGTACGTAGGTTGCAATCACGGTTCTAGAAAGGAATTATTTTTCAAGCAAAAGAATAAAAGTTTCTCTGCAAACGGAGCTAAGGCCAAACTGATAGGCTTTTGGAATTCAGAGGACTTGATGTTCACCTCCATAATTCTTCATAAGATACTCAGCCTCATTCATTAATTGATAAATAATGTATTCACTTATGTCTTAATGGGTTCTAGTTTTCCTTGCTAATTATTCACTTCCGCTGCGGACCAAATACCTTCTCACACTACACCAGAGTGTGGCACAGAACCTATCAGATATGTGACGCTCCACTTCCGAGATCGGCGCGGCGCAGTTACGCTCCGTTACAGAAATCGCGCCAAAATCACCGTTCCTATGTGTGAACAGAAGCCCGTTATGGTTTTGGTGCCAGTGCAAAAAATATCCGTTATAGTGTAAACATGCCTAAATCAGGTGCAATGACCTTTATATTCGGTAAAATTCATTTATTCAACCTAAAAGTCAGTGAAAGGATGCCTCAAGTGAAATACGGGTTCGAATGTCTAAAACAACAGAAAACTAGTTGGGATGAATGGATAAGACTAATCTACGGAAATGCAGACCACGGAACCGTGGAACCTAAAGAAATGACTATTTTCATAACTAGAGGTAATCATTGATTACGGATCCACATTTCGTCATTTACGGAAACGAAATCGAGTCGAAAGGAGTCCAGGCTAGTTTCCCGGCCGATGTGTCCCTGATAAAATTAACAGGGGCGGCTAATTATGATTTGCAGTTACCCGTGTATAGCTCAAAATTTTCTGCCTTGGTGCCACAGTAACACCAGATTAGGATGCGTTCTGACGAACGCGACAACTGCCTTTGGTTAACATGACAAAGTAATTAGTTACAATTAACTGTTAACATTTCCGGCGTCAATCGCATACAATAACTAGCGTTACCAATGGCTGCAAACATAGCAGCCACTACACTCGTACGTAGTGGCCCCGCTAGCGCCCCGGATTGCTTGCCAGCAGGCTAGGTCCCAGCCTCAGCTCTCCATCGACCCGTGGCGCTGACTAAACGGATCGTGAAATGGAAAAATCAATTACAATTCTTTGAAACTTTATTCTATCCTCAGCCGGCCGTGCCGCATGTAGTATACAGATTTAATTTTTAAGTAAGAGTTGGAGCCTCTTGCTGATTTTTGAATAGGCTGCTTTTGAATTAACCAAATCTACATTAAATAATGAATTAAAATTATTGGAAATGGATAATAATTAACGATCCGCAAGAAAACAAAAGCCGTCAAATACACAGAAATTTGGGTTTTCAAGTTAAACATCAAATACATTCAATCAGTTTAATTTAGGCTAGTTTAATTTAAACGCAGATGTTTCTATTAGCGTCAAATAAACTGTGCGGATCGATTCTTTGGTAATAAGTAATCTTTTGCTTTCAAGTTATTTATGACACTCAACCAGACGAAAATTAGCATACATAAGAGACAAACCTGGGTCTAAAGCTAACATTATTTTGCAAAATAAGTTTTATGTTAAAACATGTTTAATTAATGAACAAGGAGATGAATTTCGTTCCTAATGCACAAAAGCAGATGTCCTCACCGCGTGGGCCATGCATGACGTCACGTAGCTTCTTTTAACCTAGTAGAAAACATTGGTATACCAAGAAAGTACATGGAAAGAAATACATTTTACAGACTGATCTATTCATTATTAGATGTTATCAAAACTGATTCATGGATTTTTTTATTGATCACAGTAATTTGATGGGCCACCTGTTTAAAAAGACAAGAAGGGTTTTTCAGTAAGAATAATAGGCCTTGAGCTAATGTCTCATTAAGGGTATTTCAAAGAAATATTTGTTTGGCCGCAGAAATTTTTCGTGGCATTTGTGATTCATCTCAACTTGAAAATCTTTTGCTATTATTAGGGCGGCCGTGTGGAAGGAGTTAGTTTTCTTCAAAGTGGTGCCGCGATTGAATCCTTATAAATAGGGTGTTTCCATATTGAATCACTCTCAAGGCAAAGTCCTTGATATGAAAATAAATAAATTGAGTTGTCAGACAACTGAAACTAATATTTTTAAAAAAGGGCCATGGAAACAAGAGGCGCTTTTCATTGAACAAAAATCCCGGTTTGACCAATGGAAATGAACATTGGGTTCACAGACCCGACCCAAGTCACGTCGCGTCTGCTTATTGTACTTTTAAGCAGGCTACCGAAAAGCGGTTGTAACGAAAAACAATTAACTTTCTCAAATGGAAAGGGACGTTTCGGTCCGACCGACCGAAAAGACTGGTCAAAGTGGACCGCTTTCCAAGGTGGTCCTAAATATTCCTGTCGGAAGGAACCAAAATGGTCCGTTGCATTTGATTTCCTACCGAAAATTGCCGGAATTTAAGGCTGAATGGAAAGCGACTAATGCAAGAAACAGTCGCTGTTGAAGTACCTCCTCAAAATCCTTCTTATTGAGCTGGACAAGTAACTGGAACGTGTACCAATGTTTTCGTTTGCTATAAGACAAAAAGGCTTCACGAAACCTTACTTAACAATTAATGAATGAGGCTGAGTATCTTATGAAGAATTATGGAGATCGAGGAGGGTGTTATCCGTCGAGGCCGTAGGCAGAGGCGGATAACACCCTCCGAGATCTCCATAATTCTTCATATGATACTCAGCCTCATTCATTAACTGTTAATTATTATTCATTCAAAATAATTCCTAGTTTAAAATCATAGCTAAAACAAGCTTACCTGCATCGATGTTAAGTTTATCTTCGATAGTTTACGTTTAGGTTTGTCCAGCTCCGCAAATATTCTCCAAATAGCAGATGTCGCCCTCCGAGTTGTCTTCTGTCTGTTTTTGCCATGTTTTTAGCCATTATTTCGCCTAGTTCCAGCTGTAGTTCTTACTCTTGAAACGAGTGAAGCGTCCGCCATTTTAGCGGTTTTTACGACGAAAACAACTCAATCTCGTCCCCAGGTCTTCTCGGTTTACGGTGCATTAACCTGTAGAAGGCTGCCTTTTTGACGTCATTTCCCCGTTAAACACAAAATTCTTCCAAACTTGGTCATCAGTAACTGGTTATGGTGAATTATGTGTGTGCTTTTAGCCAACCAGAATTAGGGAAATATTTTGAATAACTAATAAAGAAATTTAATGCCTTTCACCTAAAATGCACCGTTAATTTTTAAATACAATCCTTTTATGGAATAAAAATCTTTAGTCCATTCACAACAAATGTAGTGGTATTCTCTAAATTACGAGTTCGCGCCTCTTGCATTATGTATTTACAGTGTAGACATACGAAGAACAGGATATAGGCGATAACTTAAAATTATTGGAGATGGATTTGAATAATCAAATGACTGCAATAAAACAAGAACAGTTACGTGCCCAGACACTTGGGCTGTCAGGTTAAAGTGCACATTAAAAACTGTCAATCAAATGACAAAACCGCAGATGCTTCATCTATTAAATTCAGAGTAGGATTCGCTAATCGGAGTTCTTTGTCGGCCTTGACAAAAAGTCAAGTTATTAATAATTACATAAACCAGGCAAAAATTAAAATATATAAATTTCGAAATTCGACCTAAAGCTAAGACTACCTGGCAAAGGAAGTTTTATTTTAGAACGTGTTATTTTATGAACAAGGAAATGAATTTCGTTGCTGATGCTTAAACATGGACAATCTCAGCAATCTCACTGCCTGGGCCATGACCGAAGAGGCAAATTTTGCTTAATTCTCTTTTCAGTTTGGTTGCTATCGGCGGAAATTCTACAGTTTTGTTGATCATCTACAGAGTACGTGCGCTGGGAAGTTCGTCAAGTATCCTCATCGCATCGCTGGCGATTGCAGATCTCGAAGTCGGCCTTGTTATGTATCCTGTCTACATCGCGTTAACTGTCACAAGGAAGTGGTTCAGCGCGCACTTTGTGTACAGACTGGAAAACTTTCTTTGGATTCAATGTTTAGTAACATCAACATTTACCCTCTGCGCAATTAGCATCGACAGCCTTATTGCCGTAACGTTCGCCATTCGGTACAAACAAATAATAACAAAAAAGCGGTGTTACCGAACAATCCTTTCAATTTGGATCACATCGTTGTTGTTCGGATGTTCCAGTTTGTTTTTCGAGGATAAAGGCAAGGCATCTGTTCTTTGGATCGTAACGCTTGTGCTAACATTCGTCATACCATTTGCAGTAATAATTTACAGCTATTTTCAGATATTTAAAGCAGTACATGAGCAAAAGAAAATATCTGTCGCCTAAGTCCAATGGAAGCTGCCGACATGCTAAAGAATAGGAAAGCAGCATGGACAGTGGCTATCGTTGTTTCTATATTTTTCATGACATTTTTCCCAAACGTGGTGTTCTCGGCCATAGACGTAAGTACGAGAGATTCCTGCGAGAAGGTGCTAGTTTACCGACATTGGTTATGGGGAATTCTACTTGCTTTTAGTAGCTCGGCTTGGAATCCTTTCGTATATGCTGCCAGAATCAGAGAATTGAGATGCGAACTAAAGCGCTTGTTCAAGCTATCTCAAAATTTTAGGTAACTACTCTGTCTTCTTCCTCAGTTTTTTATCTCGCTCAGCAAACGACATGAGTACAATCAAGAGCCATAATGGGACTGGTACAATCTTAAACGAAAGAATCATGAATAAAACATTAAACAGAATTTTGCAAGTGCGCTTTTCCAAATTATTATTTTAGTTTTGTAAAGGTTTTCTCGCCATTTTTCTCACGAGCCCGGAATTCAAGGCTTTTGAAAATAAAATAACCAGTGATCTAATTTTGGTGTAATAAAACATACTGTTAAACTTTATTTAAGCGATACGTTAATTTGTTTATATTTGAGAACACCAAATCGCATTCTTAAATAAAATATAGAGTTCCCCAGGAAGTCAAAAGTTATTGGTTTTTTTTATGAAAAATAAATAAAGCCACATTATATGTGCCTATTAAAAGAGATTTCTTAAGACATAGAACGGTAAAAACGAGCGATAAAATCCGACGTTTCGGAGTAGTCATGACTCCATTAAAATGTAATGTTTGGCAATGGCGGAGGACTGTTGTTTATGTCCTTTTACACGATTGTGTAAATGTCCGCGTGTGTAACGTACATACCCTGCATCACACAGGTCACATTGGAAGTTATAAAGTACACACTTTAGATATACTCTTTTCTTTATTGGGAAATTTTAAGGCACGTTAAGTCTTTTCTTTGAAATTGGCAGCAGTCTCACGTTACTAGTTACTAGTTCCGTTACCTTGACAGGCCGGACTGATTGTTGTTACTGTCGGCTTAAGACATCTGTATAAAGTTGATTTACGTCGCATATATAATGCAAAAATTATACGCTTTTTCTTTGCAACATCAACATCGTATTGGTATAATTGTCTCTGCCACTCTGACTAGTAACTCGCGCGGATAGGAGGGAGAGTACTTACAGTTGAAATATACCGTCAGTATGCCAGAAAAAATCTCGATTTGCTTGAACAGGGTCCGCGAGGAATCGGTATAGGTAATGATGACGTTTCTATTGTTTGCACTCGCAAGTACGAAATGGTTAGATGACGTAAAGACAGAAAATCCCAAAGGGACCGCTTAGGTAGATTTGGTGACATTTATTGTGCGGTGATACTTCGATACTCTTTTCGGTCAAGCGTTTGTGGAGCAGTTGTTTTGAAAGTTATGGACCATAAGACACTCGTTAAGCGCAGATGAAGTTATAAGGTGCGTATAAATGTGTATATATAAACACTTGGAGAGTTTGCCAGACACGAGTTCACAAATCTTTGATTGGAAGCCTTGCCAGACACTCCTTCTCTTGCTAAGAAAATAGACACACCGTTAAACCAGGATTCAAAAAAAAAAAAAAAATAAAGGAAACCTTTCTCTGTGCTTCTTTTTTTTTTTTAGGCAAATAAATCTCTTTACATAATCCAGGACAGATTTCGTGAAAAGTTAATGTTTTCTAAAGCGAGGTTAAGGGACAGTCACCTCTTAGACCTCCCATTACAGCTATTGTGCTTCACGCAAATCTTATGAAAACAACAAAAAAAGTCAGTCCCAGTTGAAGTGTCGTTTTGCTAAATGCGCATTCACTATAAATCGATTCTTCATAACAATCTGAATACACCGCCACTTCTTAGTGAAAGTATTCCTCCGCTAACAATTTTTGATTTAGATAACTATACCTGCGGAGGTAACAATACTTCAAATTGTCTTAACATTTGTCTGACGAGCTTCAAGGAACTTAAACTGACGTCATGGCTTGAGTATGGATGTTGAACATGGGACCCGCACATTCAGTGTTGAGGGTGTGCAGACACGAGTGGCACGTTTTGTTACAAATGAATATAGCACCACTCCCGGAACTGTCACGAAAATTCTGAATAATTTGAAATGGCTAACACTCGAGAAAAGAAGGAAAGTGGCACGATTTACAACATTGTTTAAAGTAGTTTCTGGTCTATCAGCTACACAATTTCCACCATATATATTATTTAAAAGGCGACAGGGCACTAGGCAATTCCACCTTAAGAAATTCATTCAAGTTGGTGCTAAAACAAACAAATACCAACACAGTTTTATTGCACGTACAATCAGAGGCTGGAACTCCTTACCAAGTAGTGTCATTGAAAAGCAGTCAGTAGAGGCCTTCAAAAAGGCCGTCGTGTGCTATCTTTAAAACGCTGACCACCAGGAGTTTTTTTTTTTTAACTTAATATTGGCACCATAAATGTATTTTTAACATAAGCACATGCACATCTGCACATCTGCCGTGATGGGATATACCATTTGCAGATTATACGATTAGAGTTAGGTTAGAGTTACATGCTAACATATGGCACACTTCAACTGTTTGTTTAGAAAATAGACACACCTTAACCAGGATTCAAAGGTAAATCAAAACGTGGAAACCTTCTTCGGGTTATCTTTTTGTTTAGGTGCATTAGAAGCCCTTTAAATAATCGAGGTCAGATTATGAAAGATAACATTACCTTCTCTTGGTATCTATGCGCTGAAGAGAGTTTAAGGGCCTTTCACCTCTAAAGCTTTCTACGAAAATCCTCCTAAAGAAAATAATCGGTCTCCAATGTTCTTTTTTTTCTTAGTGTTTTTCTATTTAGGTTTTTGTTTAATTACTATAGAGCACAGCTGAGAAGTAAACGGAAAATAATTACATTGAGATGTTGGCATATTAAACACAGGAGTCAATGGACCCCCTCTCCCTTCCTTCTTAGGACAAAGTAGGAATTAGTGGGGAAAATGAAGTGTGATCATTTGAGAGAGACTGCTACTCCAGTGGATGATTGAGAAGTTTTCATGTTTTGTTTATCAGTCCTCGGGGTAGGGATTTTGTTTGGGGATTTGTATGTGAGCCAGCTGGTTCCTTAAATTAATCATGTTATGGCAACAGACTGAGAGTGAAATACATTCATCTTTGTAGCTGGCCTTCACTTAAACACAGGCTATGGCAACAGACTGAGAGTGAAGTACACTTGTAGTTGGCTTTCACTTAAACACAAAAATAGAATTGGGTAAACCAGACTACATTGTCCTCAAACCAACTTTCAGCTGCAGTAACACAAGAGTAAAGAATGTGACTAAGGTTGTATTCTCATGCATCTTCAAATTCGATTAAAAAAACTTAAAAGTCATTGTTATTGATAACCTGTTACACAGGAGGTAATGTAAAGAGATAAATACAGGAAACGCAAGGTTCCATGCACAGTTTCTGTTCGATGTACACAGCTTTGACATTCTCAGTTTTGAGAATAGTTTATTCTAAACCGTAAGAAAAGATTTAATTAGAAGCTGAATTTTTCGCTATTTCTCTTCAATTTCAATCTTTACATTCAGTTCATTTTATTTGCCGGAAAGTAAACCTTAGAAATTAAAAGGACGTTTGATCAATTCACGCTAGCGCATCCTAGTCTTATTTTAAACTTTTTAGCGGAAGGACATCTGTGAGCAGGGAATAAGTCAGCACAGAATTGGATTGTCGGCGAATTTCTGTAATCGTCCATCGTTCTGCTACAGTAGTAATAAGCTAGCCGTTGTTGTTTCGTCTTGCTTGTTTGGGGCTGAGTCTTATTCCGGTCAAAGAGAGAGAAAGAGTGTCTGGCAAGGTTTCGAATCAAAGATTTGTGAACTCGTGTCTGGCAAACTCTCCAAGTGTTTATATGCACACAGTTAAACGCACCTTATAACTTCATCTGCCCTTAACTAGTGTCTTGTGGTCCATAACTTTCAAACAACTGCTCCACAGAATGTCACTGATAACACGTAACGCAAAAGAGTATCGAAGTCGTGACTGAACAATAAATGTCACAAAATCTACCTATAAAGCGGTCCCTTCGGGATTTTCTATCTTTACGTCATCCTAACCACTTGGGCCCAAACAATAGAAACCTCATCATTACTAGTCCTAATCCTGAGAAATTTCAGTCTAGTACTCAACTCGGCCAAGGGCGATGCAAACGGATTTTTCAAGGTTCTCTTACTCTCCTCGCATCTTTTGATTTCGCGACATCCTGTCCAAAAATCAAAGTTTAGTGAATGCATGCGCAGTAACAGGATACTGTTCCTTACCAGTAAAATTTTTGGTACCAAGAAATGATTATTACCACTACATGTACTCAGACAAAAAAATAATAATTAACAGAGCACTGCATCTGCCTCAATGTGGAAAAAAAAAGTGAATGTAGAAACTCAATGGGACCGATAATTGGGGATTCTACAGGTTAAATGGATATTTCCAAATTGTGACTCTCCTTACCAACGTTACTTTCCTCGAAAACATATTGGACAAGAAAACTTGCTTGAATTTTACTCGTAATTGCGATATTCATAAGCACCCTTTCCTTACTGAGATTCATTTATTTACTGTATCTGCCTAGTGGTAGAATGAGAAGTTAGAAAAAATTCCAAACTCGGGGAGATGTCATTGCACACCTTTTTATCATACACGAAAATGCAATAAGGGAAAACGCGTGTTGTCGTACTATCTTTTCTTGCTTTAATTTGAGGCAATTATATATATATATATATATATTGATATTTATAAACCTTTGAAAAATTTAGAACCAATCGAGAACTTTTGCGTCAAATTGATCCTTTGTTTGAAAATTACTGTCGCAACTTTATATCCAGAAATCAAATCAAATATTTTGACCATACCTCTAGTGAGCTGCAAAAAAAGGGTGTAAACAGCGAGGTAAATGAAGACATGCTTCGCCATCATGGTACAGTTGCTTTCTTGCTGTACCTCTCCTTTGCTGCAAATGGCGAGGAGTACGCTTGACACCTCTATTTAAACCATCCCAGTTTTTTTTTTTTTCAATAGGAAGTCAAATTCCAGTTATTTAACACCTATTGCCTAAAATGGGAATTAAGGGTAGGCCAAAACGAGGGCGTTTCAGCGCAGATTCCAGTAAACAGGGCAACCGGTCAGTGCACAGGCAAGCCAAAATGACACGCTTAACGGTAGGTAGGCAGCGAAATAACACGCTGCCTTTCGAGCAGTGTGTTAGTAGACACGCCTGGGTAGAAGAGTCCTTTTGTGTCTATTTCGGAACGAGTAGATAAATCAGTGTCAAGTGTCTTGCGTACCAACAGAATGAAATGGCACAGCAGCCTCAAAAATAGCAAGCAATTTCAGTGAGAAAAAATGACGTTTAGTAGTAGCCTTTCCAAAGTTTACGTTTCACTTTGCATGCTATCACCTGTCAAGCAAGCTCCAGCTTGATCCAGTTTCATCGACCCATTAATAGAGCGTGCTTTGTGGCAAACAAACATTTAGACAGTACGAAGCCTTTCTATCCATCTAAGTCCGGAAACAAGCTATTGTAATTTCAATCGATTTAGAACTAAAGGAATTTAGGCTTCAATTGTTTTTAAAAAATACAAGATGTATTTAGTTCCATTGCTCCAATTCTCATTTGCCGAAATCTCGTTTCCGAGAACTTCTTTTATCGCCTTCTAGCAGTTGAGGTGACCGGAGTCTGGAGTAGTTTATCCGTGATATTCTAATAGAAATTATGTTTTTTTGTTCGCTCAGATCTGAGTTTATGATTTCTTTAGAGTGACAATTATTTGTAGGTAAATCTGTTCTCACACAGAATAATTTATATCTCTTTATCACTGAAGAGTGAGAATAGAGGATGTGACTCTTAAGGTGGCTCGACTGGATTTTTTGGGGTTGATACCTTCCAACTTTGAGCATTAACTACGTCGGCATGAGTAAAGATATGGAAAAAAGGTTACCACAACTGTATTATATAAAGATGAAAATTTCTTATGACCTGGGTTTTATTGCAATCGGAGTCGCCATGGCAACGTAATGACGCCATTACGTTTTTCATTTATCTTCGTGTTTCTCTGTTCCAGAAGTTTTTTGATGAAATCGCTTAAGGGAGTATGTACCTGCTATAATTGCCTCCATTATGGTAAAGTTTGAACAAATTCTATGAGAGCGTTTTCGAAATATTTTGAAATGTAGTTTTAAGAATGATAAAAACAGTGAAATGGCATGCTACCTACACAATTCCCTAATATTTTAAGAAAATGATAAGCTTTGGGAACGAGGCTTCATCTCATAGTGGTTTGACTCCATTGAAAACTGCATACGAAAAAAGAGGGGAATTGCTCTGGGCGATCGCGAGTAAGAAGAATTTTATTAACTTGCATTTAGCTGCTTTTGATACAGTTTTTGGACGTAATTTGGTCCATCCCTAAAAATTTCGCATTTTTCCAAAAACCGCTCGATAAATTTTTTTATAAATTCGACAATCCCGAGATCAATCGTCAAGAAATATTCCCTGCAAGTTTTAAGAACATTGAAAATAGGGAAGGCTTTAAATAGGACCTCAAATATAACCAATTTTCCCCCCAGATTTTGTGTTACAAGTGAGCGTCCTCATTATTCACTGGCATTGTTTTCAAGTTTCATATACACGTGCACATTTAGCAAAAAGATAGAATTTGCATCAGAAAGGACCCTCGGTTAAATCTTCGGGATATGCTAATTACTGGGTAAAGAGATTAATGACACATTATAACATCAAAGCAACTCTTTGTGATAGTTTCTGTGATGTTATAACGCGATGAGCCGTGACGTTCACCGTTTCGGCTCTCACTGCTATCTGTGACTACAAGCCAACTATTAGCATATTCCTGATATTTCTTCGGAAAGTAATCGAGAGTTCTTTTTTATGCAAATTTATATCTTTTGCTGGTTGTGCACGTGCATATGAAACTTGAAAACAATGCCAGTGAATAATGAGGACGCTCACTTGTAAACACAAAATCTGGGGGGAAAATTGGTTATATTTGAGGCCCTATTTAAAAAAAGCCTATTTTCAATGTTCTTGAAACTTGCAGGAATATTTCTTGACGATTGATCTCGGGATTATCGAATTTATAAAAAAATTTATAGAGCGGTTTTTGGAAAAATGCGAAATTCTTAGGCATTGACCAAATTACGTCCAAAAACTGTATCAAAAGCAGCTGAATGCAAGTTAATACAATTCTTCTTACTCGCGATCGCCCAGAGCAATTCACCTCTTTTTTTGGATGCAGTTTCCAATGGAGTCAAACCACTATGAGATGAAGCCTCGTTCCCAAAGCTTATCATTTTCTTAAAATATTAGCGAATTGTGTGGCTAGCATGCTATTTCACTGTTTTTATCATTCTTAAAACTACATTTCAAAATGTTTCGAAAACGCTCTCATAGAATTTGTTGAAACTACGCCATAATGGAGGCAATTATAGCAGGTACATACTCCCATAAGCGATTTCATCAAAAAACTCCTGGAACAGAGAAACACAAAGATAAATGAAAAACGTAATGGCGTCATTACGTTGCCATGGCGACTCCGATTGCAATAAAACCCAGGTCATAAGAAATTTTCATCTTTATATAATACAGTTGTGGTAACCTTTTTTCCATATCTTTACTCATGCCGACGTAGTTAATGCTCAAAGCTGGGAGGTATCAACCCCAAAAAATCCAGTCGAGCCACCTTAAGTATGAGAGGGCTTATATACTTGTAAGTAATGGATTTTAGTGAGGTCACTGACGGCAGGAACTCAGTAGCGCCGCTCTGGATCGGGTACAGAGATTTTGGCGCCAAGTTTTAGCAGGGATGAAATATTAGAA